GTCTCTCCCTTCTGGGAGCGGCCATGGCTGCTGATGTCCCCTCTATTGAGATTAAGGGCAAGAAGTTCTTCTACTCCAACAACGGCACCGAATTCTTCATCCGTGGTGTTGCCTACCAGCCCAACTTCACTGGTCGCAATGGTGCTTCCGGTACTGACTCATACACCGACCCTCTCGCCATCGACAGCTGCAAGCGCGATATTCCCTACCTGACCCAATTGCGCACCAACGTTGTCCGTACCTACGCCGTCGACCCCAGCAAGGACCACGATGAGTGTATGACCGCCCTCGCCGATGCCGGTATCTACCTCATCACCGATCTGTCCTCGCCCAGCGAATCCATCGTATCTGACGACCCTACCTGGAACGCGGATCTCTTCACTCGCTACTCCCAGGTCGTCGATGCCTTCGCCAAGTACCCCAACGTCATCGGCTTCTTCGCCGGAAACGAAGTCGCCAACAAGGTCAACAACACCGACTCTATGGCATACGTCAAGGCCGCCGTCCGCGACATGAAGTCCTACATCAAGCAAAAGAATTACCGTAGCTCCCTCGCCGTCGGTTACGCCACCGATGACGATGCCACCGTCCGCGAAGCCGTCTCCAACTACCTGATCTGCGACGAAGCCGCCGACTCCATCGACTTCTTCGGTTACAACATCTACGAGTGGTGCGGTGACTCCTCCTTCAAGACATCCGGCTACGAGGAGCGCACCAAGGAATTCGCAGACTACCCTGTCCCCGCCTTCTTCTCCGAGTACGGTTGCAACGAAGTCCGTCCCCGCAAGTTCACCGATGTTCCCGTCCTGTACAGTGACAAGATGACCGATGTCTGGTCCGGCGGTATCGTCTACATGTACTACGAGGAAGCCAACAAATACGGTCTCGTCTCCGCCTCCGGCGACAGCGTCAGCACCCTCCCCGACTTCAGCAACCTCTCCAAGCAGATGGCCTCGGTCACCCCGACCGGCGTGCAATCTGCCAAATACAGCGTCTCCACCACTGTCGGCCGTAGCTGTCCCACCGTCGGCGCGGACTGGAACGCCGCTAGCAAGCTGCCCCCTTCGCCTAACGCTGACCTCTGCGAGTGCATGTACAACTCCCTCGAGTGTGTCCCCAACTCCGATATCACCGACAAGCAGGTCGGAACTACCTTCGGCTACCTCGGCGGCGAGGCTGGTGTCATGAACGGAGTCCTGTCCAACGCTACCTCCGGTGTCTACGGTGCTTACTCCATGTGCTCGGCTAAGCAGCGTCTGGCCTGGGCTATGAACGTCTACTACCAGAAGAACAAGGCCAAGGCTGGTAGCGATGCTTGTGGCTTCAACGGTGTCGCTAAGACCAAGAAGTCTACCTCTGCCTCCGGCTCCTGTGCTACTCAGATGAGTGCTGCTGGCTCGGCTGGTACTGGTGCTGTCAGCGGTGGTCTTGCTGCTAGCACTGGTGCTGCTGCTTCTGGCTCTGCCTCGGCTGGCGGTGCTACCTCCTCCGGTATTGCTGCTGGTACTGTTCCCCAGGCTGTGCACATTGGTGCCTGGCAGGCCGGTGCTTATGCCGTCGCTGCTATTGCCTCTGGTGTCTTCATGATCATGCTGTAAACTGGTTGATTTATTTGCATATTCATGATTTAGACTTGGCTTTTTTTGGACTTTCTTACATAGCCTCCCCTATCCAAATTGGAATTGTGGGATTTGCTTTTTTTTTCTGTAACATTGTTTATACATACTCCTTATTTAAACTGCTAGCGGGTGTTCTATTATCCCGGATACTACTCCGTACTTCAAAATCTACTGATGAGATATTTTAAACAAATCTTCCTTTTCTAGCTTTGTATTTGGTAACTACTCCGTACTCCGTATATAGTTATAGGTTTGAATTGGCCACTTAATATGTATGAATTCTATTAAAATATAAACGCGATAACTACCGACTACTTGATTGGTTATGGATTTCGTGTTGTCATTGAGCCATGTTGATAGCTCATAGAATAAGACGATTGGCTTGAGCATGTCCAGGTGACGTCCTCCAATTTTCCTGGGTCTCACTTTGCTTTTTTTTTTTTTTTTTGAAGCGCTCATCTCTATTTTCCAAGTAAAATTGAGCACGCTCATCGAGAGGAAGTGATCCCCGGGACCACAAGGTGTCTACTCCACATCCCAACAATTGGAAAGTTGCTCCCGAAGTATATCGAAAAATTGTCAATGTAATTATTAAGATTCACGTTGATCTAAACATCATAGACCTCCATGGCTATATCCCCGCCCCACAAAATTCGTAGCTCAAACAAACACACCTAAAAAAACAACTCGTCCCAACCAAATCTGACTGGCCTCTCCAAAGCGTGAGATCCATTCCAATATACAAGTACATACATATAGTTAGATAGATTTTATCTACCGTCTATCTTTATGCCGTATTTTCTCCAAGGTATATCCACTCCTCAGGAGGCATGTAAACAAAATGTAAAAACAACGCTCACAAGACGCAACATGTAACTTTTTCGCCAAAACCAACAGCGATTAGTTGGCGTCCTCAGGGAAGTACTCCTTAAGTGTTTCCAAGACGCCCTTTTCAGAGATGTCTTTCATGGCCTGCTCCATCTCATCGGTGAACCGCTTATATCCGCGCAAGTCATCACCGAAGAGGCTCTTGATTTGGAGCAGCCCGTGGGGGCCCTTGTCATCCCCAGCTGCAGCCAAAAGCTCATCAAGCATGGGGTCAACGACGTCGAATTTCGCGCCGTGGTCATCAACACCTCGGATGTATAGGAACCAAGAGGCCGCGACGAAACACAGGCGGCGGAAGGGGTAATCACGTTTCTCTTCCTTGCTCGCCATGATCGCCTCGGCAATCGATGGCATGATAAACTGTGGGATCTTGCCGGAGGCATTGAGGCAGACGCGAGGCAGCTGGTCCATGATTGTGGAGTTGGAGAAGCGCTTCATGAGAGTTTTGCAATAGTCGTCGATGTTGACACCTGGAATCTCGGGCAAGTGCGGCTTCACCTCCTCCTGCATCATCTCCCACACCAACTTGCGCAGCTGTGGGTTGTTCATGACTTCGTGGACGTATTTGAAGCCTGCCAGTTGACCCGGGTATCCGATGGCCGAGTGGCTGCCGTTAAGCAGACGGAGCTTGTGCTTCTCAAACTGCTCGACAGCGTGGACGTTCTTGACAACCTGGACACCAACCTTCTCGAAGTCTGGACGGCCGTCGGAGAACTGGTCCTCGATAACCCATTGCATAAAGGGCTCTGTGACGACGGGCCATGCGTCCTGAATTCCAAAGTCCTTTGCTAGTGTATCTTTGTCATTCTGTGATGTTTGAGGGGTGATGCGGTCAACCATGGCGTTGGGGAAGGCGCCTTTCTCGGCAATCCAATCCGCGATCTTGGGGTTGTGCAAGCGCGCGAATGACACTAGCATGTTGCGTGTGATGGAGCCGTTCTTCTGCATGTTATCGCACGACATGACGGTGAAGGGGTCGCGTTGTTCATTGTAGCGTTTTGCCAGGGCAGCGTATAGGAAGCCGAAGGTTGTGGACGGGGCGTTCACGTTTTTGAGGTCGGCCTCGATATCGGGGTGGTCACTTATCAGCTCGTGTGTGTTTTCGTTGTAGTAGTAGCCGCTTTCGGTGATGGTGAGCGACACAATACGGGTATCAGGGTGGGCCATCTTGTCGATGACGGCTTTGCGGTTGTCTGGGGCAAAGAGGTAGGAATTAATGCATCCAACAACGTGGGCAAAACTTCGTTTGTCAGAGCGCTCTATGACGGTGTAAAGGTGGTCCTGGTCTCTCAGGACATCACGCATGCCAGCATCGAAGGGTTGCAAGCCAACGCCGCAGATTGCATAGTCAGTTTCGCCATGCTTCTCCATCAATTGGTCGACGTAGACAGCCAGGTGAGCTCTGTGGAAGCCGCCGACACCGACGTGGACAATTCCCTCCTTGACTGGGACATTGCGGGTGCGATTGACCTCACGGTGGATTGGGATCTGGATCTTTCCTTTGCCTAGCTTCCCAATGGCTGCCAGGTTCTTGGTGCTGAGCTTTAGGGCTGCCATTGTGATCAGAGGGATTGGGGGAAGAAAGGAGTGAGCTTGCCAAAAAAAAAAAAAAAAAAGATGAAAGGTTTGCGGCTAAATTAACCAGCATGCGAGGGTGACCGCTGGTTTTGACCGCTGATCCTGGAAAATGTGCTGGGCGAATATTACATCATGTGGACACAAACCGCCACCCCTGAAGGTGTCCACCTTCCTGCGAATGCAAAGAGCCATATGGAATAATCCTTTTGGCATCTGATTAGTTTGTTTTTGGTAGTGGACCAGTCTGCTCCCAGCTTTGGAAAGTTGTGACCGTCTAATAATAAAAAGCGCCTTGCGTCAGAGCTATCCGCTTCCGATCTCGGGGCCGAGAACGTTCTTCTGCCGATGGCACTGGCCCCTTTCGGGAATTTTGTGCTCTCGGGAATGTTTTTTAAAGATCAGGACAACCTGGCAAGACATGGCATGGGGTTTCCCTGTACGGAGTAGAGCTGAAGGATGAAAACTCTGGCGGACTGAAAAGTACAGTTTCAATCTATTGATCCTATCTGTGAGATCATAGCTGAAATGGGAAAGCCCCACCCGAGACAATCCGGTCTGGACTTGCCACTTTTGTTTTGGAATTTGGAATGAAGGGATGAGATGTAAATCATTACCAGCCACCTCCTTTCATCATCACTGGTAAGATGGCCGAGTTGGTCTAAGGCGCCAGGTTAAGGTATACCTTGACTCCATAACTAGCAATAGTTTCCTGGTCTCGCAAGAGGCGTGGGTTCGAATCCCACTCTTATCATGTCTTTTTGTTCTTTCTTTTTGGTCCTTGGTTTTGCTTCTTTTCTTTTCCCATAAGAGGGTTGATTAAAAATATTACTAAAAAAAAAAACTTTGTAGATGAATACAATCTCTAATTCCTATTCCTTTTTTTTCAACCCATCATACATAGTCGCAGCTCCAAATCTATATATGCGGGATGCTAGACAACCAATCCGGGGTAATGTAAGAATCAGCTGGAAGCGCCCTCAACGACGAGAGCATAAGCGCAAGGGTCCCAAAACGTGCTATAAAATACACATACAATGATCCATCGGCAAGCACAATCTCGAGCATTGTGACGGGAGAATTCGGATCCCCCAGGCTCTTCACGCACGAAGGGAGCAGTTTCTTTTCCGCAAGCCACACGGCGATCAGAGGCCCTTGGGCAACAACCAGTGGGATGAAGGATGATGAAATTGCAATTAACGTGAAAACTCGCCATGCTATCTTTTCAGCTTCTGTGGGGAATGTGAAATTCCATCTATCAATTTTAAGTATTAGCCCTAGCCAGACCGAGGTATGAATATATATATCGCTTACCCAGCAACATGAATCCCACTAAAAAAAATAGCAATGAACGTGGCAAAGACAGCAGTTAAAGCTTTCCCGCCATGAGATAATCGCACTGCACTATCTTCACTGGGAGAAGGAAACCGCGCCGGTCCATCGGCAAAGAAAAATGTGAAACGCCCTGAGCTATCCCTTGGGGCGGGCGGAGGTGTACTCTCAGAAGGAAGACCTCGTAGGTGAATCCAGCTCTGCGGACTTGCATCCATAGCCCGCCTGATTTCCTCCGGGATATTGCCTCGACTATATCGTAAGGGTATGTTGATCGTGGTAGCCATATCCTTGGGCTTGTTCCACCAGAAGCCATAAAGAAACATTCCACAGGCGACATATGCGACCGTCCCTAGCTCAAGCGGCGATATAGACAGCGAGTAAGCCGCTCGTGTTACGATATTGCACATCGCCCAGAGGCTCTGTAAAACCGTGACCACCATACCCAGGGCATCAACCTTCGCTCGGTCTTGGATGTCCTCATCATGAAAATCAGAGCAAGTAATTATCCCAGCTCGGATAAATACCAGTATATTCCTTGGTGTGATGGTATACAGCCAGTCATCCTGCGTCTGTAAAGCTAGACCGCCCATTTTGACACAATACCCCTGAGTAATACTCCAAGAGGGCACCGGTTGCCTTTGGACTTCGTCTTTTGGCTCATTCACCAAAGACTGAGCAGAATTGCAAGAAGTAGCTATACTCCTCGCCATAAACATCTCGACTACCGCACCCCAAGCTATCACTTCGGGACAGAGCACGGTTAGCAGCCATAGGGTGATTTTGACGGCGTTGCGCTGGACTCCATTCCAGCTGCGGGGTGGGACATCGATGCGGAGAACAGTCCACGTGCAGGCGAGGATCGTAGAAAAGCATGTCCACACTATCGTCCATGTTGATCGGGAATTGTCATCGAATTGCCAGCCTTCGAGATTAGTGTTCGTGCTGGCTTGCGAAGGTTGCACGAGCAGACAAATACCCGGGAGTAAAAACATTGGAGGCACTCTTATATAAAGCTCATCTTGGCCAAAAAGGGGGAAATTATTAAAATAAACATAAGCACCGAAGAAGTGGGGGGCTTTGACGTTGCTCCACTCTAGGGCTTATGTAGTAGGGAATAGTGTCATGCGGGTCAATACGTCTAGATATGTCCTCGAGAGATAAAGAATATAGAGACCAGCGGAAAAACAAAAACAGCCTGAAAAACCTGTAGATATGCCAGGAAAAAAGGGACTTACAATGTACCAAGCAGAGATATTAGACAGAAGCCAGTACGACTATGAAACAGTAAAGTGGATTGTAAAAATCTTTATATGCGCCAAGGAGAGAAGAAAGAACTATCTATATGTAGAAGACTAAATGTACTGGGAGCAAACATGCATATATCACGTGACCACTTCTGACAAGAGACTAACTGTAGTTATTTATACCTAGATAGCCTCAGAACTGGGTAGCAAACATCAAGGTCATATGACCTACATCTAAACGGCGTTTTTAGCTGTGCGTATGGGGTTATGTTGTTACCATACCGCAGGAGAGTCCATGTATTTCTCTTGTAATGATAATCTGATAGAAATAGAGATATACTTTGGGGATGGCATAAAAGGGAATTTTGATTGTAGGTTGGATATAGTGCTATATGCTATATCTCGTTCGCCAATACTATTGTTATTATATCTGGTCAGACTGGCTAAATATTGACGTAAGTTATGAAACCAGACCAAGATTAGATATAAAGAAAATGGACGGATAGGTTCAGAGACTTCCAATTGTAAGGAGGAGTGTGGAAAGTATGAACATGGAAATCATTTGATGTCTACCATTATCGAAATTTCATGTAATAAATGCGCCCTGATCGACATCCCAAACCTAGTGTTCCATCTCCAATCGCCGAACAATAAGGCCGAGCCTCAGGGGGAAGCCATAATAACTTCTTCCCATTCAGGGCTACCCACTGTTCCTCCCGTATTGATACCTCTAGACTCGTCTGGGATGTTTCAGAATTATAATGCCCACTTCTGGGCTGGATATCGAGGGATCCAATATTGGTTCTTAAACACGAGCCATCACCGGAGAATTCCATAAAAGTCACCACTTCGTCGGTTTTTAAGGTCTGTTGCAGGGCCCATGTCGTGGTGTCCCAGAGTTGCACTATGTGTTTGGTATGGGCGGCTAGTAGGCGGCTGTCGGACGAGAACTTAACCGATGAAGCCCAAAGCCAAAAGTCCCCGAGAGTGTGCCGTAGAACCCCTGTCGTGGCGTCCCAGAGTCGGATCGTATGGTCACAGGAGCCGGAGGCTAGTAGCCGGCCATCAGGCGAGAATGCCACCGAGTTAACGTCATATGAATGACCCTCAAGAGTCCGTTGTAAGACTCCCATGGCGGTGTCCCACAGTTTGACAGTATGGTCGCCGGAGCCAGAGGCTAGGAGGTCACTGTTAGGTGAGAATGCTACTGACCAAATCGGCATTGAATGACCCGTTAGAGTCTGTTGTAGTGCCCCTGTAGCGGTGTCCCAGAGCCGGACGGTGTGGTCTTTAGAACCAGAGGCTAGTAGTCGGCCATTAGGCGAGGATGCTATCGATATAACGAACTCTGAATGGCCCTCAAAAGTCTGTTGTACGACTCCTATCGTGGTATCCCAGAGCCGGATCGTATAGTCATGGGAACCGGAAGCTAGCCGCCCATCAGGGGATGATGCTATTGAGGTAGTACTGCCCGAATGACCCTCGAAAGTTTGCTGTACGGTCCCTGCCACGGTGTCCCAGAGTCGGACTTTGCTGTCACCGGAGCCGGAGGCCAGCCGGCCATCAGGAACGAATACGAGCGAGCGAACATCGGAAGAATATACATGAAGAGTCTGTTGTAGGACTCCTGTCGTAGTATCCCAGAGCACGACTGTGCCATCGGTAGAGCCGGAGGCTAGCCGGCCGTCGGGCGAGAATGCTACCGAGTTAACAGTATCTGAATGGCCCTCGAGAGTATGTTGTAGAGCCCCTGTGGCGGTGTCCCAGAGCCGGACTGTGTGGTCCCATGACCCGGAGGCTAGTAGATGGCCATTAGGAGAAAATGCGACGGATTTAACAACTCTAGAATGTCCCTCAAGAGTTTGTCGTAGGACCATTGCTCCTATTGTGGTGTCCCAGAGCCGGATTGTGTGTTCAAATGAGCCGGAGGCTAGTAGCCGACTATTCGGAGAGAATACTAGGGAGGTAATGTTGCAAGAATGACCCCTAAGAGTCTGTTGTAAGACCCCTGTCGCGGTGTCCCAGAGTCGGATCTCGCTAGACGAGCCGGAGGCTAGTCGGCCATCCGGCGAGAATGCCAACGAGTCAACTTCGTAAAAATGGCTATCTAGAGCCTGTTGTAAAGCTCCTGTTGCCATATCCCAGAGTAGAACCGTGTGCTCATGGGAGCCTGAAGTGGCTAATAGGCAACCGTCGGGTGAGAATGCCACCGATCTGACATCGGATGAATGGCCCTCGAGAACCTGCAATTCTGCACCCCATGTATTCTCAATCCATGGCACCTGGGCCATCCACTGTGGAATATCTTCATTAAATTGTTTCCGAATTATTGAATTTAAGGGTGCAAATGCAAGCCCTGAGCAGTAAATTTGCAGTGGCGAATCATCAACAATCCTATGGGTTTTCAGAACAAAGCGTTTTGCATCCCGTAAAAACTCTGACATTGTGCCATGGCTGCTCTAAATAGGCATATTTATTAGTGCATGTAGTTTTATATACTTGTGCAAGCAACTTACAGGTAGAACTGTTCCCAAAATATTAAGAATACCCACCACTTCTGCTCCGAGACCTAATAGGTTCATTGCTTCCATCCAATGTAGGAAATGTCTCTGGAGAAATAACAGAGCATCGTGCAGTACACCAAGCGAGTCCATGCAGTGCATTAGATGATGTGCCCAGTATCGACAGGAGTACTGCAGTTCTGGAGAAAGATAGTGATCGATTGTCTCCTGATCAACCTCCGCACGTTGTGTTCCATCACTTGGTAATTGGCATATATTTTTCCTTAAATTTTGACACATAAGGAGGCAACGAGTGGCCAACATATAGTGCACTTTCTTCTCATCTATCCAAAGTGGTGTCTTCTCGCGTGTTTCCGGATCAAGAAGATAGTCTCGGAATGATAGATGGAAGGGCCGTACTGGCAAATTCTTATCATCTGGTACACTCAGAACCGAGTGTAATAGGCTCAGTCTGATATCAACAAGACGCTGAGGGAGGCCAATAAGGTTCGAAAGTGAGATGGCTGAGAGGGGACTCTGTAATATCACGATTGCACCGACCACTTGTTGAAATTGACGAACCATTTGGTTTAACTGCCTTTTGCTTTGGTCACACAAAACCCGTTTGAGCACAGGAAGGTACGTTCCATCAAGCTTTGATGTATCGTTTTCATGTGTCAATATCTCATTGAGGCTATCCTTTGGGTCCCAATAAGGGTCCTCAAGGATACGGCATATAGTGGCGGCGAAAATAAACAATGGTACGGACAATGTCACCAGATATTGGAAATTAGTATTTCCAGGCCAATCGACAGGTAGGGTGCGGTTAGTCCGTATAGCTGAGAGTCGGTGCTTCAAGAACAAAGATATGTCGTGCTCTATCACTGGTTTGGGAACCTCATGAAGGATCAAATCTTGGTGTTCATCGGGGATCCTTGAGAATTCTTGAAAGATTGGCCATTCAGGCCTGCTTGTCAAGAAAATACGTACATAGACAGTATCAAGCTTCTGAAGCTATGATAGCAATCCGAGTATGAGTCGCATATCATCGTCCGAATCACATTCATCTAGTGCGTCGATCACTATAACCACAGTTGGGAGAGTGGATAAGACTAAGCCTTGGAGTGGCTTAAGGAGCAGTTTATCAAATTGTTCCTTCAGTCCTCTTTTGAAATGTCAGAGTTGTCTTGAAGTGCTTTCTGGACACCGGGGAATAGCCCAGTAATGCTCCTCACTAGTTGTCTTGTAATCGTCGGCAACAACTTTGTCGCATTCCCCCGATCCCCTTCACCCCTTTTAAAGAAGAAGTTTTCTCCGAGTAGATTGGTCTTGCTCAAAGTCTGTGTTATCGTTCTCGAGATGGTTGATTTGCCAGTCCCAGCTCTACCATTCAACCAGAAAATGCCTTTTCCGCTCGGAGAACTAGCCCATTCCTCAATTTGACGCAGGAGGGCTACTCTGGTGCCCGGAAGACAATAATCCTCATGTTGGTTCTCATACGAGTCGAACTGGGCCCCCTGTGCCACTAGTAATTGGCTTAGGCTTGTACGATAGTCGATTCGGTCGGTAGTCTCATGTATACCGGCGACGACGGCTCTAAACAGGTGTCAGCTAACTATTAACTATTGAACGGTTTTAACACCTACACTTGATCAATATTTAAGGATAACGTGAATGTTGATTTGTATCCCTGAAGATCTGATACGATTTCTTTCACCTGTTTCTGTTTGATAGGCCATGCTAGCGCGCGAAGCCCTAGTCTCTTCATCGCCCGCTTTTCTTTTCCTGGCCTAATCATCGTGTTACAGAGAAGGCCAGGGACTAGTAAGTACGCTGGTAAAATCACTGTATTGCGCTAGAGAGAGAGAGAAAGAGAAGAAGCTATCTACAGATGCTAAGACTAATGTACTGGGAGCAAACAGTGGTGGTCACGTGACCTTCCAACACATCGCTTGCAAGCATTTAAGAGTTAAACAGCAACGAGTGATAGAGCCAGAGATGGTCTGGGAACTAGAAATCCTAGAGCCGTTGGGCCCTTGGAGAAGCACATTCAGCTCCCGGAGAACTCCTTCGAGATCCGTGACGGCTTGCTGAAGCTCTAAAATTTCGTCCCTAGCTTTTTTTACCTCTTGGATGTAGTCGCCGCAAATCTTCACAATACTCCCCGCCAGTTGTATGACCGCGATAACGCTGGCTGCAGATGACAGTCCATCCATTGAACAAGGTGGATATAACAGAAGAAACTGGCAGGTTGGATGTGGTGGGATAAAATGGAGACTAGAAGGGATGAAGTGCAATACCAGAGGTATCGAGAAAGTGAAATACTGAGAGAATGATATAGAATAGCAAATGGTAAATTGGGTCTGAGACAGGAAAACCAGGGTGGATCTGGATCATGGCGGTCAACAGAGATTACGGTTGGTATTTTATGATGGCCTGCATTTCCGGCTCAGTCTAAAAAAAATATGTGACTCGAAATTAATCGGGCTTTTTCCTGGGCTGTTTGCACTGCATTAGATGACACGAGGCACTATGCATGACATGCATGACGTATGACTCGGCGTCTTAACAAATAATTCTGCCAATAAAGTTTTTGTTCGATGTAAGAAATTACAAGAGTTTAAAATACATCGAGGCTGAGCCCAAGAGCAGTAGCTTTAACTGCCGAAAAGAAGAGTAGCCGCCGAGAGTGCGCCCAAGTGACTACGATGCATCCAAGTGCCGCAATATAGGACCAATCATTGCTCGCCTTTGCTAAAAGCCTTGTATAGATAGAGACATGTCTGAAAGAATACGAGGTTCATCAACAGTACAAGTCTCAACATTGAAGCTAAGGCTATTTCCAAAGATGTCACACTCCCGCTCTCCCGATTTCTGGACTGAACAATTAGAATTGTTGGTTGGATCGTCGGCCCGAGCCGACCGCGTTCAACCATGGAAAGCTTCTATCATTATGACGGGTCTAGAAGGCGGTATTGTGCTTGTCTATGAAAGACAGTCAATAATATCTCTACGAAGACAACCACCTATCTATCCTTTGACCTGTGGACTCCTTTTGTTCTTTCTTCCGTAACGCCAGGTGGTGGAGCATCCTCGGGTGAGAGGTTTCCGTCGCTAGCGCCCCGTCTAGGCAGAAAACAGAAAGAGGGATATTATGAAACCCCTCTCCAGTTCCCGTTGCTATTCTTAGTTCTTTATCCAATCAACCAACAGCACCAAAAATTTGATTCGCCTCGAAGTCGGTCTCGTCACCTCAACCTGTTCTTAATCCTTGCCTAGGACCGGTATAGAACTTAAGTGTTTGCTTTGCCGCAGACCCACCTGGGCGCTTCGAGCCTCATCGAATTTGATAAGTCACGATTAAATAACTATGGAGACAGGGGGGAGGGTTGTGCGTGTGCGTTGAAAGAAAGGTGCTTGGATGATTGTAACGAGTAAGTTGATCGAGCTTCCAAGGGCCATCATCTGTCAAGAGAGGGAGACGTCGCATGGTAATACGTTAGAGGACTTCATTGTATGTCACCTTTCTGAACTATCTCGCTGTAAAACAATAGTTTCAATTTGCCTATAACTATACAGTCTAGAGAAAAAAAAAGTCGTATGAAAAGTCGTATGAGGGAGGTATTCACAACCAGAGGTCATGACTCATATCCACCAGCCATGCAATATGAAACCTCAAGCCCAAATTTGACTTCAAGGATTAATCAAATCTGCCGCCCGCTCTGCAACCGCATAAACAGTAGCCTGAATATTGCCACTAGGCTCAAGCGGGAAAACACTAGCATCGACAACCCTCAAGTTCTTCGTTCCGTAAACTTTCAGCTCAGAATCAACAACGCCCCCAATCTCCCTCGGCAACATAGCACACGAGCCCGCGGGGTGGAAACATGTATACAAGCGATCCTTCACGATATCCTTCACGTGGTCCAGATCACTCAAATCGGTCGTACTCTCAGGCATGCGTTTCCCGGCCTTGAGCAAAGTAGAGAATGGCGCAGTCTCAGCAATGCGGCCCACGAACTGCAACTGCCGAGCCATGATCTCAAGATCGAGCGGGTGCGAGAGCAGGTTCGGGTCGTAGGTGGGTTTATCTTCACTATTTCCGGAGGAAATATGGACCGAACCGCGCGAGAATGGATGGTTGTGCAGCACCATGACGGCGATGTAGTTCTCCGGGAGAGTTTTAACCAGGACATCGGCGAGTGTTGTTCTGCCTGGGTTCATTTGGAGTTGGGCAGGGAGGAAGAGGTAGTGTGAAGATGGGCCATCGCTTTGGAGGAGCATTTTGCGGATATGAGAATACTGCGCTTGCAGGTTGGGTGGGGTATTATCGTTGTCGAGGTATTTGGAAAGCAAGGCCTCGATTTGTTCTTTCGGAACGGCACCAGTTCCATCCATCAAGGGGAGGTAGGCCATGCTGAGGGGCATGCCTGCCAGCGGGCCTCCGTGTGTCTCCTCGTAGAGCTTGATGAGTGCCTGAACGACGTTTGGATCGCGCAGGATATCTCCAGAGACCTGGTCATCGGCGACCTCAAAGTTGATGCTTGTGATGGCATGGTCTTGGAGGTTCTCGCCTACGGCCGGGTTGTCAATAATTACCGGAATGCCATGGGTTTGGAGAAGATCTGCACGGCCGATGCCCGAGAGCTCGAGCAATTGAGGGGAATTCAGGCTGCCTGCGCAGAGAATCACTTCTTTCTTTGCCTTGATCTCGTATGAACTGTCTTTCGTCTTGACCTGCACGCCTGTAGCTATAACCTCTCCATCTTGTTGAGTGAGGAGGATTCGCTCAACCATTGTCTCCGCAAGAAGTCGCAGGTTCGGCCGCGCCGCGACCTCGGGGGAGTAGTATGCCGCTGCGTACCCTCTTCTCCCCGTCTCGGCATCGACGCTTAGCGGGGAAGTAAAAGCGCCCAGCTTGTGGCCATCAAGAGGATCGGCCTCTGATTCCCAGCCCAGTTGGGCAAATGTCTCATCCCAGGCTTTGTTAAACGGCCCATACACATCTGGTAGAGATACAGGGACAGGACCATCACACCCTTGGTTATTTACTTTCATGTACCGGCTTGTGCCGAGTAGTTCTGCCGTCGCCTCGCTGGGCGCGGTGTACGAGTGGAATTTGCGAAGATAGGGGGCCATATCCTCGGCGCCCCAGCCCTCATTTCCCAGGGCCTGCCATGCGGCAAAATTTGATGCCGTAGGGTATACAACTGCAGAGAAATTTAAAGCGGAGGATCCGCCGACGACGCGACCGCGTGGCTGGCCGATCTGGCGGTTTTTTGCATGAATCTATTCATGAATTAGCTTTAGATACGAGATGACGATGTTGAGAGCGGACATACTTGCGGAACACTCATGTAGTCCCAATCAAAGTCTGGGTTGCCATACATCGTGCCTAAAAATCCAGGGGTCTCGATGCGAGGATCGCCCATCCGATTGGCACCAGCTTCAATGAGGAGGACCTTGATGGAGACATCTTGGCTTAGACGATTTGCCAAAACAAGTCCGCCGATTCCTGCGCCGATGATAATGTAGTCGTAGTCATCCATCTTGCAGCTTAAGAATCTTTAATTAGCATGGAGGGGAAGTGAAGATTATAGGAATATTTTGGGAGGATCCAGAGCGGACTGACTACTGATTGACTGACAGCGGATACGCGGCACTTACGGAGTACAAGATTCCCAAATCTTGTTAGTTTCAAGTTAGCTGTTACATACATTGCTAGCTTCACACTCAGTAATTTGCTCAGAAAAACGCTTATACCCCTCAGTGAGGCTAGTACCCACCCTAGGGACAAGTGAGGTAGTATACGGAGTATTATTTGATCATAAGCGAGCCAATGGATCCAAAAGGGGAAATGGCATTTGCAAGTTTGACTTGGCTTCAACTAGTTGAACTAGTCGATACTCTGTCCAATGACAGTCGATTTCTTCAGCCTTCTAGTCCGAGTCCGGTAAATTAATTTCGGTCTAAAAAAACGGCCCGCTATAAAGATCCATAATCCCCTGCTGATCTTTTTACCTGGTCAGTTAATAGTTAGTCTGGAACTCTAATGTGTAGTACTTTGTACAGTAGATGGACACAATCGGGATTGTTACCCGGACACTGGCAGCTATTCACGGCCCTTAAAGTTTCTTCACCTTTTATATTTTACAAAGTATATATACAGACCAAAAATTCAGACTTTACGAATGGGAAAATGCAATTATATAATGTCTTCGCCTTCCCCATCGTGCGCGACCAGCTCATCGCCAACACAATCTTCGTCGCACTTGCCACTGTTCTGGTGATTTTGCGTGGCATCTCCCGACGAATTCGAAAAAACCATATAGGATGGGACGATGCATGCTGCGTCGCAGGGCTATTTCACACATATGGAATGCTCGCAATGCATTTCCACTATGCTCGTGTCGGGATGCGACACCACATCAAGACTATCCCACCGGAGAATGCTGTGTTGATTGCCAAAATGCTCATGGTCTACCAAATCGTCTACTACAACGCCATGGTCTTGGCTAAGTTCTCCTATCTTGCCTTCTACCTGCGGATATTTGTGTCAAGGGAATTCCGCATCCTGACGTGGGTCTGTATGGGCTGTGCGGGCGCGTACTGGACGGGGAGTATGCTTCAGATTTTCCTAATCTGCACACCCTTCGAAAGGAATTGGAACCCGACACTGCCTGGTCATTGTGCAAGTCAGAATGTGGCATTTTCGACGATCGGAGCCTTTAACCTTCTCACCGATGTGATGATCATGGCATTGCCAATTCGCTTTGTCTGGAAATTGCAGATGTCTCTTGCGACTAAGCTGGCGGTGGTTGGAATCTTTGGACTGGGTATCTTGTACGTTTTTTGGCTCTCCTTTTCCCCCAGGGTCCCCGTCCCACAATTTTAATCAATACCATGCAGTATTTCCTCCATCACCATCATCCGAATCCGTGTCCTCACCACGGTCGATTTCACCGATTTGTCCTACTCGATGATCTGGGCTGCCTTCTGGAGTGTCACGGAGCCAGCTCTTGCCATTTCAAATTCTTGCGCGCCCATGCTCCGACCGATTCTTAAGGCCGCTTTCCCGTCCTTGTTCTCTAGTGTCCGTGCTCCATACTCGACACAGCCGTCGACGGGACCCGTCCTGAGCAAGAATAGTACGACGAAACGGGCGTATGGCATAGATGAGATGGATAGTGAGTTTCCACTCACGCAATTGGACCAGAGACCTGGATCGGCGGATGGAGGGTCGTTGAATGATCAGTCGCAGGATGGTCGCTTGCACTATACGGCATATCATGCCTCTAGGTCTGTCATTGGGATGCCTAAAGGGTTCTAATAACATTGCGCACTATCAATCAAATTTCTTTTGTACATTTTCTCTCGGTCTTCTTGATGATCGTGCCTATTTTGCCTTCAAACCACCCCACGCTCCCTGCGTCGATGGACTATGCATTCTCTTCTTCCTAAGTTAATGCGCATAGTGGTATGCGATACGGAGACTCGGCAGCCTATCAGGCGTTTTAGTGTGCGTCGAGCGAAAGGTTCGAGCGGGGTTGGGATGGTATGATGATGGTATGATCTGTGACATTTAGCGATGTAGCGCGGCGTGGAAGTCAGAAATTGACAGTATAAGATACCGTGATGAATTGATGACCGATGAGGCGAAGGCTTGACTGCTGCACTGAGAAAGAGCTATGTGGGAGGAGATTCCTAGCCTAACGCCCAAGGCACCGGGCTCTCAAACAATCGCGTTAGTGTGCTGTCGTTTCGCTCTCAATAGAAACCCCTCATTTTTCTCTCACTTTAGATATCTTCCAATTTACAGGTATTATGACCGGACAAGGGAAATTTCAATGAGACGGATCAGAAACTGAATTTCCCAGGCCAGGCACCGAAAGGTGCATACATCTATGGATGCGATGAGGTCCCATTCTTGGCTGGATGTAGACTTTGGACGACTCGAGCTGCGATAAACATTTTAGTGTTATTTGCCTCTCCTGCAAGACCAACTCCCAAAGTAAGAATGGCGATAGAAATGAAGGTAGGCCATTTCCAGCCGAAGATATTAGACATTTGGCCGAACATAGGCTGAACCGTGGTTTGACTGGCAAGGTAATCATTGACCGCCCAAACGTATAGCAACTTGGAGTCTAGAATGTTGGAGATTGTGGGTAGTACTGTTGAAAGTACTGAGGAGTCACAACGCATAGACCGGGAAAGATGGCCTCAAACCGCCGCCCGTAACCCCTCTTGATTCTTGATTGGCCTCGGCCTTCTTACTTTGTAGTTACAGTTTACTGATAAATGTATAGTTCGGCTTCGGCGAGGTATACCCAATACCTAAATTGGCCAAACCTCACCGAACGGTTGCTACCAAAGAGAGAAGCAAAAAAAAAAAAAAAAAAAATGTGAAGGCATAAAAATAAATGCCTGGTGACCACGAACAGTATTTATGCATCTGTGCTTGAGAAACGAAGTCTCTCTGGGATGTGTCTAACCGTTATTTTTGTATTGGAGATGGCGGCTCACTTGGGGTGGCGGCTCGCTTGCGAAATAGATTAACTGGAAGCGAACAGACCCCTAAATGTGAAAAGTTCAATTGTTTCCCTTACATATGATAAAATGAATTTCGTACCAGCTTGAAGGGCGGGGATCTTGAAAAGTTAGCACATACCCGACCGTCTCACCTAAAAGGATTAAAAGATGCGGAACTCCAACCTTTTCGCGGAATAAGCACATTAAACTAAGAAATACTTAAGCCACTCAGTGGAAGTCACTGGTTTGCGCCACCACTAACGTATTTCTCTTAAAATTTTAGGTAATGGTAGATTATGGGTTGGTCTCCATATGCGGCCCTAGGTTTGTCCGAGGGAAGGGGTCTCACAACGGGGCGTACAATGGGGGTCAATGACACGTACTCCAAATTTGAACGGTAAGTCTAGAGAAGTCCAATTGGCCAAAGTATGGAACCACCTTCCGAGAAGGGATAGAAAAGCCACCCCCAGATAATTAGTGGGGATATCCCCCAAGAAGATTGAGGGATTTGAGAGGCAAAGCGACGTAATTTTGAGTTTCCCCGCATTAAGAAAAAGTGGGTAGACCTCGGGAGGTTGGGGGTTGGACTAAAACGTGTTGTGGGGAAAATGTCTAGGATCCTAAATCCGGAAATACTACTGCCTCACACTACTTCATCGTAGTTCAGATAAATATTTCATAGATAAAGATGATTGACTAAAGAGCAAAAAAAAAATTGAGACTAGTTACAAGCCAAAGATAAACAGTCAAGCCTTTAGTTCTGCACGGGTGGCGTGTCGGAACGGCTCACCCAATCTCAAGATCCCCCTGAACGCCCCTGAAGCCTGAAATCTTGGCTGATGACGATAAACACCGCACTAGTCTGGGCAGACCGGGCAGACCGGGAAATCTAAACTTAACCGGGATAGAAGGTTTAAAGGGCCTCATCCCCGCCCTAATTACCATTATCTGCATTTTGCAATTATTCCACTATGGCAGAGAAGCAAGAGAAATCATTAAGTCCTGTCCCTTCACGTGAAGGGGAAGTCCTTGAGGCTCAACATGATGCCGTTTTTGGAGAAATCACCGAAGAAGGTCCAAATTATCGCGATGTATGTTGCCTAACCTTGTAACTCTTTTGGTGCCGTGTACTAATCACTCAATACAATGTAGGTAGGATGGCTAGGAACAGCCGTCTTGATGATGAAAACTCAAATTGGTCTCGGTGTCCTTTCAATCCCCGTCGCTTTCGATTCATTGGGCATAGTTCCTGGCGTAATATGCCTATGTGCTATTGCAGCCATCACAACTTGGTCTGACTACATAATCGGTGTCTTCAAACTTCGACACCGCGAGGTTTACGGTATTGATGATGTGGGCGAGCTGTTACTCGGCCCCACGGGAAGAATCCTGCTCGGAGGTGCATTCGTTCTCTGTGAGTTGGATCCTAAAAGAAAATCACAATGCACGAAGTCATAAGAGCCACTTGCTGACCCACGATAGGGTGGGTTTTCGTCGCCGGCTCGGGAATGCTAGGAATCTCTATCGGTCTCAACGCTGTCTCCGACCACGCTGTTTGCACGGCAGTCTATGTTGCCATTGCTGCTATTGTAGCATGCATACTCGGTAGTATCCAGACATTAGGCCGTCTCTCTTGGCTCGCCTGGATTGGTCTGTTCTCAATCTTGACTTCAAGTGAGTATTCCTCTCGTGCTCTTTACGCCTAATCTAACATGATCCTCCTAGTCATGATCGTCACCGTCGCTGTTGGTATCCAGTCTCGTCCAGCAGCCGCACCGACAGACGCTGTCTGGGTTTCTGACTACAAAATTGTCAACAATCCAGACTTTACCGAAGCCATGACAGCTATATCTACTATCGTGTTTGCATACGCCGGTACTCCAGCATTCTTCTCTATTGCAGCAGAGATGCGGGAGCCCCGTCATTTCAACCGATCGTTGTTCCTCTGCCAGGGAATTGTCACAGTGTTCTATCTTGCCATCGGCATTGTTATTTACTACTACTGTGGATCATACGTTTCATCCCCTGCTCTTGGCTCTGCTGGTCCAGTTGTCAAGAAAGTGAGCTATGGGTTTGCTCTGCCAGGCCTGCTGGTCAGCACATTACTATTCATTCACGTATGACTTTCTATGGATAACAGCAAATCATCTACCTAAGCTAACAGGTATCTAGATCACTGGAAAATATGTCTTTGTCCGCATACTACAAGGTTCCCGCCATTTGGCATCCAACACTATCACCCACTGGGTGGTCTGGCTTAGCTGCACTATCGGAACTGCTTTGGTCGCTTATATCATTGCTAGCGCCATTCCCGTGTTCAGTGATCTCGTCTCTCTTGTGGGCGCTTTACTAGGTACTCCCATGTGCTTCCAGCCAATGGGTGGTATGTGGCTGTATGACAACTGGAGCCGTAAAGAGGGTCGCCGGTCGCCCAGATGGATTTTGATGGTCGGATGGTGCTTCTTCATCATAATAGCTGGAACTTTCTTGATGATCGGAGGTACTTATGGATCTGTTGTCAGCATTATTAAGAGCTACCAGAAGTCCGGAGGTTCGGCTGCCTGGTCTTGCGCCGATAATTCCGCTTAGATAGTGGTATTAGATTCTTTTTTTGAAATCAAATTTCTTTTTCCTCACATATTAAAATACTATCAAACTGAATAGTTGGCGATGCACATATGTTCTAGTAAGGTAAAAAATGCTTTCAACCAATTGAAGTACAGCGCCGCATCTGACCAAATCGGGACCTTCATCGTACCCCACTTCTTCTTCTAAATATTTGCTCTTTTCCTTATACTAGCAGTCTTTTGGTTATCACTCTCGATTCTCAGCGTCTGTCACTTACAGTAGGCAAAGATATGGTATCGATTGGACAGTTGGCAGTTTTAGGGCTCACTGGGTCTGATTGCGATTCTGCGAACAGCCTTTGTAGAAAGGAAGAGAGTCAACCTGCCTCCAGGGCCAAAGCGTAAATTTATTATCGGCAATTTATTTGATATTCAATTGCCAGGAGCACAGGAATGACAAGATTGGTTGAAGCACAAAGACCTCTACCGTACCGTCTTATGTTCGTCACTTCTGACCAGTTGACCAGATCTAATTATTCGACGACGTCACCCAGATTTTGGCTCACCTGAGCTATTTGAACTTAAGCTGTGCGACTGTAGCTTCGTTGTCTGAATTTCCTCACGTTTTTACGTGCCTAGACAGGTCTGATCACAACAAGTCAATCAATCAACTTCAGCACCCACCAATTCAACTATTTTTAGCCAACAGGTGTTGGTTTCTGTCTGCTATCACTCGAAAGAATGACACACTGTAGATAAATTCACAGCTAAGAGCAAGGGCTTAGAGGCCTTGTCGCAAAGAAATGCGAAACAATACACGAGAAGATGAACAATGTAAAAAGCTGATAAAGAGCACAGATATTTCATGTTTGCCTTTGAGTTCCTACTATACATAAAAGGTCATCACCGAAAGCTCAGTTCGAGAGAGATAATTCTCAGTTGCTATCCAGCACAATAACCTCCGCCTCTACTTCCCCGACACTCTCTACACGGAGCGCATCTCCAGCATTTACCATTGTAACAAAGGCCCCATCGCCCTCCTCAAGAACGGCATCCTCCCTACCATCGATCATAACCTTGGACTTGCCCTGTTTGGTCATGGGCAGGTGAATGTAAACATTCCGCTTCTTCTTAGACTCGACAGCTTCTCCGGCGCCAACAGTCCACTTAAATGTCGAGGCCGGCTCAATAATTCCAGCTCCCATGACGAAATCGGCATGAATGGGGATAGTACCGGGAATTTTGGGCACGGCAGCATCTTCCTGTGCTGGGGTAGCTTCGGGTCCTGCAGCAAGCGGAGATAAAATAGGAACAAATGCTTTGCGCTTTGCTTCCTCGCTAAATGTCATGGTGTGGTACTGTGGCTTGAGGCCCTGCTTCCAGGGAAGTGCCCAAATTTGAAGGAAGTGAACCGACTTATTGGATTCGTTCTGCTCCGAGTGTGCGATCCCTGTGTTATGTTAGCTTCAATTGACTAACTATCGGGTAAATTAGAGGTTTGAGAGACTTACCCGTTCCGCCTGTGGTGAATTGTACATCTCCCCGCTTCATTCGGTAAAATTGTTTCCCTTGCTCCCCCTCGGAACCCTTCTTAATCATACTATCCCGGTGCGTGAGCTCACCATTCAGGATGTAGCTGAAGATTTCCGCATCGCGATGCGGATGCGTTGGGAATCCATTTCGCGCTGCAACACGGTCCTCATTTAGAACGCGCAGGCTTCCGAAATTCTGGAATCGGTGATCGTAATAGCTGGCGAAGCTGAAAGTATGGAAAGATTTGAGCCAGCCGCCATGTTCAGCGTATCCACGTTCACTGGATCGGCGGAGAGCAATCTTGGCGTGGGCGAGTGGGTTCGTCATTGTTTTAGTTTTAGGTCGGTCAAATAATAACACTATTGAAATGTGATTGAGGTTATTCTTTTTTGTGATTAGAAAAAAATCAGACGTGGGTCTGAGGGTTTATATAGCTTGAGATCAAGTCGTCTAGACGGCTCAAGAACCTTGGAAATCCATCTCATCGGGATTATGGAATCATTAGCCATCATCAATAAGAGTGACACTAGTCCCAAATAGGTTTAGAGCTGGATGTAATCACTGACATTTGGTTAGAAATTTCTGAGTCATCCCTTCATAGCCTCAGGCATCCATCCATGGATAATTTCTCGAATTGTGGTTCTTCCCAGACAATTGAAATAGACGACAACTCTGTCTTTTATTAACTCTAGTTTCTAGCAATTTGTACCTCGTTATACCTAGGTAGGGGCTATAGCTGACTAAGGACAAAACATTAACAATAAAACCATGGGCAATCTCGATAACTTCCCTTGACATACTCCGTAGAGTCACTGTTCACAAGTCTTAACACCCTATTTAGTCCCACATATTTACCGCCGTCTTAGTTGGTAGATCTAATTGCAGGTTAAAACTGGCCTGCCCCATTACCTTCGGGCAAAGTTTCGTCCACATATGAAGCATTTATGAGGACGAGAGTTGGTGTGCACCATGATATAGCGATTGAGATGCTCTTTCCGCAGGAAAGATTTGCCGCAATTGAGATTGGTACACATATAGGGAACCGAAGGCAATGAAAGAATTTGACGAGGGGGTATAGAATCCATTTTTGTTGACAGTCCGGTTGGGCATTAGTGAGAAGGAATAAGTGGTGATTGTTGGTGATGGCAAGGAAGCAATAACATGTAAGGGCCACGCAGATCAAGCAATTGCTGATGCGGACAATGGCAGAGTAAGGAACTTGGGTAGCTAGCTTCTAGAATGAGTCGATAGAAGTGTTCTTGCATATGCCTCGTTCTTCCGCCGGGCTACATCGGCAGAATTTACATACATAATACTGCCTCCTGATACTGTTTGTTAAGGGCCTTGTCGTTGCATGTACGAGCAAACGCTTCCAAATGCCTAAGAGGACTTTTATGGCGCAACCGCCTTACGAATGGGCCTATTGATGGATGAAGGTCAGTGCAGCACGAGGGAAGATCTTTCTCTCCCTGAAAATTCCGAGAGGGGAAACATGCTACGTAGCTTAGGGTTACATCGTGCCGTATAGTTGATCAGTGGCGGAATTTCCATTGGGTCAGGTGGTTTTTTATCTATAACTATTTGTATTACAACTTTAATAGTTCTATTATTTATGTTTATGCCTAAAGAATGATTACGTATGTTTATTTTTTTTACCTAGTGCGTTCTTTTGCGATTGAGACGACATTCAACTGGCTAGTAGTTTCGCCCAGTGAATTTACTGCTCTTATTTGATCATATAAATAAAATCAGTTAAGAATTAACCCCAGGTCTTGTTCCTGATATTGAAAGTCGGTATACAGGTTTGATTGTTGAAAATACTTTTTTTGGACATCCAATGCCCGATGAAACCATTGACTAGCCGCTACTACCAGTTAAGGAGCGAGCACGCAGCGATAGGCAACTAGCTGGACCGGATTCAGGCTCGGAAGATCCCTGCCTGTGGGAAGTGTGGAGCACCAATGCGGATAGTGCACCACTTGGTTATCGAATGTCAAGCATGACAGCACTAGCTAACTAAGCTTTACAAGGCGCTATATCGAGCTGAAATCGCGAGACCTGCGGCTCGTTAAGTACATTAGTTACCATAAGACTCCCTATCAGATTTCCAACCATTCCCTCCTCCTTGACTCTTGTGTTACAATATCTACTCAGCGCCCCAAAAATGGACACAATTATCCCTAAAGCTTTAAAAAGAGGGGACACAATCGCCTTTATCTCGCCCTCCGCGCGCCTCAATGACATCCTACCCACTCCCCTCGCGCGAGGAAAAGCTTGCCTGGAGTCCCTAGGTTTCCGCGTGCAGATCATCTTCACTAGCCTAACAACAACCACTATTACACAATCAGTTCGCATTCGATGCGAAGAATTCCATGCCGCATTCCGCGACAATACGATTGCGGCCATTATTTGCACAATTGGTGGCTCTCACGCCAATGAAATGCTGCCTTTTCTCGATTATTCCCTTATTAAATCGAATCCGAAGATATTCGTCGGCTACAGTGACACTACCTTCCTCCATTATGCGATTCAATCTCGAACCGGCTTGCGCACATTCTACGGACCTAGTGTTCTAACAGATCTTTCTGATTTCCCCAAGCCCATACAATTCACAATCGACCACTTCCTTCGTGTGCTGACTGAGGTGGGGAATCCGGTGGGGCCACTTCCTCGATCGCCTATCTGCTCAGTGGAGCACAGCGACTTCCTTCTTGGAAATGAGACATCCGACAAAGTGCGCGAAGTCATTGAATCGCCGTCGTGGCGGTGGCTCCGGAAAGGCCGAGCTACTGGAAATCTATATGGGGGTACTATAACCTGTGTAGTGCGACTTCAGGGGACTAACTACGCTCCTGCCTCCTGGAAAGGTAACATACTTTTTCTTGAGTCTGCGATGGGCGATAATCTGCAACTTCCGTACTCTGTGTCTGGGTTCCGCAATAACCTTGTCGATCTTGCTCTGTCTGGCATGTTACATGAGATTAGGGGTCTGGTTGTTGGACGAGGATACAAATATGATGGCCTTATGCAGGATGAGCTTGCTGGTGTGATCGAGGAGGTTTTTGATGTGATCGTCGGTCGAAGTCGTGAGGAGGAGCTACCGATCTTGATGAACGTCGACTTTGGCCACACAAGTCCACTCCTAACTTTACCCATCGGTGCACTCGTCAGACTAGACTCTGATATGGATAAGTTTGAGATCATGGAGCCTGGAGTGCAGGCTTGATGACTATGGCCGGGCCACACTGGTCTATGATTCGACGAGTAGCAAATTCACTAGTTCTAGTAGTGATTTACTACGTCAACTATAAGAAAAGATCCACTCTTATAAGCCATGCGTTGACTGGGACATTCGAGCGCGTGTGGGACTCATCACTCATTTTCTATGGCTCGTATGTGTAATACATAAGACCGGGCACAAAGAAGAGAATATTTGACAGAGTATATATACCACGTGCTTAACCTGAGTATCAACTGCATAATACAGATAGCTCGTTGGTCGTTGGCAAACTGACTCTCATCACACAGCTCTCGGGGCTCTTACGTTCATTATTGCTATAATCCTTTTATGGCGCAAAAGATATAAGCTTAACGACAAGTTAGATGGCACATTTGATGCTTATATCAACTAATCACTGGTGTCACAACAATCCGGCCTAGCATTATGAGTGACTTCCAGTACAAACCACCGCTCTATCTATTTAAAGCTTGGGTAAAACAAAGATCTCTCTCTGCGTAGCAGCGTGTACATAAATGGGGATAGCAAAATAAAATAAAAACATACAACAGCGTGTTCAAGGTAGTAGTCACTTAGCGGCTCGCCACTCTATTTATGGCACTTAGAGCAGATATTCAGCCCGTGTAGCAGAAGGTACATTTTCTAAAATTAACCAAGGATCCTATAAGTATCCTTCTTTCCCCCTCCGTTCTCGTCTCTCTAGCCTCGCTTTATCTCTCTAAACTAGCCTCCTTACGAGTAAGATACATGGTAAGTATAACCTAACGTTAAAATATATAGCTAGTATTATAGATGTCGGGGAGTCCAGTAGTTATAAAATCTAGCATGTAGTACTACCGCGAATAGAATCTCGTTATAGTTATAAGTTACTTATTTTCAATAAGTCTTAGCTAGGCCTTGACAAGTCCCGCAGCACCTAAGCAAGTTTGGTGATTATTAATTATTAATTGTAACTTATAGATTTTTTAAAGGTTGAGAAGGGCATGTGTCTTAATTTTATCCTAGTCGTGATTTGTATAGGATGATTTCCAGTACAGGCAAGAGAAAAACAAGCCTCACCATCACGCAATTATACACGTGAGACTTAAATAATGGGGCTGGAACGTAGACAGCTGTCTGCTTTGTATCAAGGGAGATCTGGGCAAAGGCAAAACAATGCTCCTATGCAACAATCATTGATGAGTGACCTCAATAAAATATTGAGGCCGCAAGTATCCCATTTTTCTTTTTCTAGTTTCCCAATATCCGCATAAATAGCGCAACAGCTGTTCTGTGTGACGTGATCTATTCGCTTGTCGACAAACAGTCATCTCTTATCTCTCACACGCGTCGACCGTACTATCGCAGGCAAGCAAGTTTTTGAAAATACAAACGTGTGGAAGGCTTTGTCGAGGATCCTTGCAGATATTCTAAAGCTCTAGACTCGAATCTGCCGAGAACTTGTCTAATAATAAATGTGCTCGATGAGTGTAACACTGGTCTTCTCGCTGTAGTTGTTGACTGGCTATTCGAGATGTACGCTTTTCCCTTTCTGGTATTATAAACAGAGTGGTGTTTTAATTCAATTAGGAAATAGATCTGCAACCTGAACGTTCAGCATCGAACCACTTCCGCTCGGCGTGTCTAAAAAAAAAAAAACGCATTTACTAGATAGTTTGTCCTTTGATCGGCCACCCCTTCAAAATGCCGACCGGGCCTGAGGATGAGCAATAAACTTGGAACTACACGCTTTCGAACTATTCCGTAACCCCCAACCCCACCGTAATCATAAATTTAATTTGACACGTTGTGTAATATGCATACCATAACAACACTGCTTACTTGTGATATAATTTGTTCAATCTAGTTTTTTTTTTTTTTTTTTGCGTTTCCCTTGACACTACGCTTCCGCATCGGGGCTTGTAATTAGCCTGCTTTGATATTGTTAACCCTGGGGAGTTCACAGTAATTAATTGGCATTGAAGTAAGTGACAGGGTCATGAGCTATGTGCGTTGGTCTGGAGCATTCGATTGTGGGTATATTGGGCTATACGATTTAATGCAGTGCAGATACTTTATGTCTGATAGTAAAAGTTTGTTCCCGCCCTTTTTAACTATTACTATAACTATATCCGCCTCCTCCTGGTCTTGTGTTTTTTTTTTTTTCAACACGAACGCATCATTTATCTCTTTTCTCAAGTGGGGTGTTCATCCGATTTCCGAGGTAAGACCACTGCCTCACCATGGAAGACAACGCCGAGCTTGAATTGTTCCGCCGACAGTGGCGGGAAGAGGTCGCACGTCGATTGAAACCCAAAGCCTCTCCTACTCCGACTGCGGCCCCAACTGCTCTACCTATTACTAGGAGGGAAAAGCCTATCGCAACACCTATTACGAAGAGGGAAAATCCTATCGCAACATGGTCTATGTATCCAGACCTTCACGATGAAGTATCTAGTTTGCTGGCCGAGACAGATCTTCATCTTGGATTTTGTGAAGATGATGATGAAATAACTTTCACTCAAACGCGTGACACAAACATTATGGGCAGTTTTGTGTGCCATAACCGAGCATGCAAATCCAAAGGATGGTCGAGCAAGATGATCGCCATCACGATACGTCTATATCCAGGGCAAAACTACAACGCGAGGGTATATCACCAACGCTGCAGAGTTTGCAAGTCGCCCAGTCAACCGGTGTTGGATCAGTCATACGCCGAGAGGATCGTTTACTGGATTAATAAGTGGAACGGAGTACGGGTAGAGAGGCCTCCAGTATCCAACGACAGCAGAGGTCCGCATAACCGTCAACTCTGTGAGGGATGTAGAGCTGGGCACTGCTCTCAATCTGGGGAGGATTGGGTTGCTCGACTAGATAGGTTTGTCAGTCCCAAGCCAACACATATGATTGACTTTCTAACCTATTATCAGGTTGACTCTGTAGCTAGCTGAAAGTCTATCGCCGATTTAAAGAATGCAAACAAGTGGAAATCCTTTCGCAATATTCCTCTATCGCAGAACCACACCAGAATATGGGCTAGAAGACCACCAGATGTCGCTAAGACTAGACCATTTTGGAGTATACAAGAGATTCCTAGAGCTTTGAGCTCCCATAATTTACCAAAGCCCCCATTTTTTAGACGTTGTCACTCATGGATATATTCTGCCGGTAGATTCTATTGATACATAGGCTTCTCTTGTCTCGCGAATGGCATACTGGAATTGGCGATTAAACCCTAATTCCCGTTACCCGTTACCACTATGATAGGCCACAATCCTACCGGAAAATTAATAGGATAGAAATTTGACTGAACCTCACTGGCATGAGGCTCTCAAACTCCGAAGGTTGTTGACGTGAAATGAGGAACGCGGTTATATAACTAGACATAAGCTTCACTGAATATCCACCAACAGTATAAGCATCCTCACCGGGCTTTCGAACAGTTGTATACGAGCGGAGGTTTGCCCACCAAAATTCGAGTTTTATGGAATATTGAAATTTCTCGCTGGAGGTATCTTCTTGTCCGGACAATCTTGGCAGATCATGTCAAGATTGCACTGAAATCATATTCCGGGCAATGCCTAGAGTTTTTCCACTTTCTTCGATTCTGGAAAGGAGCCTGAGAAACGGGTACCATATCTAAGGAAGGCAGCAGGCGCGCGAATTACCCAATCCCGATACTGTAAGGAGACATGATCATTGTTGAAGCCTCTGACGTTTTACGGATCCTGTAAAATAGATCAGTCCCTAGTCATCCACCCCTTGCTCGCATTAGTGAAGAAGATAGCCGAGACTTCGAGCCAGTCTGGTACCGGGCGGGGTAAAATCGATAGTCTTGTTCTTTTAGTTGCCAAGATGAGCGCCCAATTGGGCGGAAGACGTGAATGGGGCTATACGAAACTAAGGCGCCAACCTGCGGTGAATGTTTGGGCTTCTTCTTATAATAAATCCCAAAGCTAGTGTTTTCAACGATCTTCATCACTTAATGCTAAGATTATCTACCTCATATCATTCAATTTGTCACGACGGCCTACTTGTTAGAAGTGGACCAGCCTACAGCTGAGTTGATCGTTCAAATACAACTCCAAGATGCTGGCCGTTATTCGGAAATCTCTAAAGGGAAATCTCGGGATCCTACCGACGAGGAGTTGGCCTTTCAGTTACAAAACGAGCAGTTGGAAGCAATTTCTAATTTCCTCAAAGATAGGCGAATGGCCAAGAGTTTCGCAGCTGCAGTTCAAGCCGATAGACATATCCTGGCTCAGACAAAAGTGGAAGAAGAGAGCGCGTCTAAAGATCGAGGTATTGCACGTCGATGGACGGACGATGAGCATCTAGTCTTGAGCAATGACTTCGAGGCAGAAACAGCAGGTTTAGATGACGAGACTCTGGCAAAACTCGAGATCTTGTATGTGTCCGGTTTGGAGGGATACTACGACACAGAGGATGGGGGAATAGCTGGGGCTGAAACTGAGCAAGCCGAGTCATCTGCTTGGGCAGCTCGACGACCCCGTCAATCACGACCACAACTTCGTCAATGTGTGGCCTGTGGAGATGATACAGAGTTTTTCAACGTGGCGCGTGTCCCCTGTCAACACGAGTATTGTCGTTCTTGTTTGGAGGATCTTTTCAAAGCCTCAATAACAGACGAATCGTTGTTTCCTCCACGATGCTGCCGGCAACCCATCAATTTGAGCACGGCTCGGATATTTCTCAAGTTTGATCTCGTCCAACTGTACGAGAAAAAGAAGGTTGAATTTGAAACGCCAAACAGAACGTACTGCTACTCTACCGAATGTTCCGTTTTCATCGGGGAATCTCATATCGAAGGTGAAGTAGCTACATGCCCCGACTGCCAGCGCACGACCTGCACAAATTGCAAAGGGCGAGCCCATACGGGAGATTGTCCAAACGACTCTGCTATGCAACAGCTCTTGTCAGCTGCACAAGAGAATGGATGGCAACGCTGCTATTCATGTTGGCGACTAGTGGAACTGGATCATGGTTGCAATCATATGATGTCTGTGCCCCCTTTCTTTTCTCTCACAACTCTGATTTCTGACGGAAAATGATGATAGATGCCGCTGTGGTGCCGAATTCTGTTACAATTGTGGGGAAAAGTGGAAGAATTGCGCATGTGAACAATGGGACGAGCATCGTCTCCTTGCGCGTGCATACCAAATAGTCGATCGAGAAGTGGCCTATCTGCCTGCCGCCAACCCCCCACCAGATATTCCTGAACATCGGCTGGAGGATCAACTTGAACCAGACATCGACGAACCTCACATTGAAATTCAAGAGACACAACCAGATGAACCTCGTATATTCGCGGAAGGTTCAACATTGTCTTTGACGCAGGGGCATCGAGATACTTTGATCGCAAGAACGATGCAAGAGCTCAGAGACAACCACGAGTGCTGGCATGGTCGATGGAAATATGTACGGGGACCCCATCGATGTGAAGAATGCTCTCATTATTTGCGTCAATATATATTTGAATGTCGTCAATGCAGGCTCCAAGCTTGCAACCGCTGCAGAAGGAATAGACTCTGATACAGCCATTCCGTGAATTAACTATAATACCATTGTCTTCCTACTGTGGCTGCTGCTTAATTACTAGAATAAAGCAACAATCGAGCTCAGAAGCCAGGGCTCATGAGTCTCGCTCACTCGAATAATTGAAACGCTAAAATCCATCATCTTTACCCGAGTATAGGTTGAGGTAAGTGTTGACCGGTTCTGCGTTTGGTTTTCTGAGCACTCATTCCCGCCAGTGACTTATAAGTAGACTGTGCTAGGTAAAAAATACCAACGACACCAACGAGATGAGCATATAGCCCTTTATTCTCTGGCAAATATTCATTCATACATTGATATTAACGACGAGTCACCCAAAGGACCTACGCGTCTCTCGCCTGAGTAACGGTTTCCTCTAAGCTATTTGGATGTAATATATTGATATTAATCCCCTGCTTAGCAGCGAATAAGACTCAAGTCAAGTAAGGTAGGACCCAGAAACAGCGGTGGCGTTTTCCTTGATAGCTATATTATTGCTTTCTCTCACGAAAGTAAACTACTCGGGCTATGCGATGGACTAGTAATACAAGGGACTCGATGATCAACACTCTTGGAATTGGTCTCATCAATTCTTCCTTTCCTTATAATCAAGTTCAAGTTCGTGACAAAAACAACACCGTCGCATCGGCGGCTCGCACCAACGCTTCGGCTTTTGATGAACAGTGATTGATGGACGCCACTTCTTCACCTTCTATCCAAACAGAGATATCGTGCGAGCTACTCTCGGTTTCTTTCACCCGAAATTCGGCTTTGCGTGTACCTATGAGACGATCCATAGCACTCTTTGGGTGTTCTACCTCCACATCATGCGCCACGAAACGCTCAAGATAAGCCATCAACTCGATACGTTCCAAGAAGCGTTCACATGCTTCCAGGTCACCTCCACTTTCAACAAAAATTGCCCCAATAGTGCTCTCAATGAGGTCTGAGTAGAACTTGGATGCTCTTAGCTGGGCAAGCAGGGCCCAAGGATATGAGCGCCCACTTTTTAGGGGTTTCTTGACTGCATCTCCAAGCATGCGATATATCTGACTACACGATGCCCAGATATTACTAACATCTTCAGAGTCATGTCGCATGAACATCCATAATGCGGTATTTCTTGGTTGAACGGTCATCCCAAAATTGCCTGCCGTTATCTCCTGCCCATAGTAACATGTCTCGGCGAGAGCGAAATCCATGCAGAGGAATGCTAAGAAATCGGCATTTACCAAAGCAGCTCGGATTTCCGTCATTCGACCTTCCGAAAGCTTTGGGACCTGATTGTGCAATTTTCTTGCAACGAGAAAGTCCAAGACCGCATCTCCTAGGAATTCAAGTCGTTGGTAAGACCCAGTTGTTTGGTCTCTTTGCCATGATGGGTGTGTGAGCGCCTCCCAGATTAGAGCCCGATTTTTAAACTTGAAGCCAAGAAGTTTGTCAAGCTTGATTTCCAAATGGACCGGAAATTGGCAGTTTTTCTTTGGTGGTTCGTGGGGAATTGGCGTGAAGCCGGAAATCTCTGGTAGAAAAATGTCGACAAGATTTCGGGAGAGCGAAATTCCACCATGTTCATAAGCAGCCGCTACGAGAGCTTCTACCACATCGGCATATACTTTTCTCGGAATCTCTTTCTCCACGGTGTTTCCTTTATTCTGCCAAAAGATTGGATGTTTTCGCGTGATGAAATCTGCGCAGATAAATTGTTCCAAGTGAACACTCACGGCCGCGCGCGTGAGTCTCTCGTTTGAAACCAGCAAATCTTTCATCTTTGATAAGTAGCCTTCATGCCATCGAGGATAAGTATGAAAGACATGCGTAGAGACCAAGAACTTGATCAGAGAGTCACCCAAAAATTCCAGTCGCTGATAATTTACCGGCCATTGAGAAGAAGGGGATGTGATTGCCTCCGCTAGAGAACTCAATCCGATTTCAGGCACATCTCCAAAAATTTCAACGCGTATAGACTGCGCCATCAAATGCTGATGCAGGCATTGTATGATTGGCGGAATCAGGAGGCTGGTCTGACCCAGTTCCCAAGGCAGGAAATCAATGGTGCATTCAGTGGCAGCTATACAGGTTGTTTTGAAGAAAGTTTGTGTGGAGATTTGATCTGCCAATATTGCTTGCCGAATGAGGTTCCGCCTTTTTTCAAATGGTCGACATTCGATCGCAAATCCCTTTGCATCCAGGTTTCGAATCCACCTCACAAAGATGTGGGGAGTGAAATGAAGCCTAGGGCTTCGGATGAAACCATCAACTGAAAGAAGGGGCACACGAGTTTGCTCCCTCCGAATAGCAAAAGATCCTCGGTTGATATCAAGCCAGTCTTCTAGCTCTTCTAGGGGGAGGTCCGGAGTAAAGAATGGAAGATACTCTGGATAATCTTCTTGCGGCGATTTTCCTCGAGTCGAATGCAGCAATAAGGTCGTTATCTCAAGAATGACGGACCTTAAAAGAGTTGATAGCGTTGTTTCAAGGTTGAAGGGCTGCAATTTTACCGTAAAAGTTGTTTTATTATCCCAGTATAGGTCCACATTTGCATCAATTGGTAGCTTTACTGGTGTAAAAAGAGCCATCCCAAGATCCGGTTGTACTTCCCCATTCTTAGAAACCTCGATGCGACACCTGTACATTGTTCGTTCGGTCCAATGGCCTGGAATGGCTTTCCAGAAGCTGACAAAGTTCTCCACTACGGGCAGTTCGGCAGCCACTGTTTTTTGTTGATTCATCTCAGCCGATGAAAAATCTTGGAACAAAGGAAGGAAATGGTCATTGATTAGATTTTGGCGATGCAACGCCTGAACGGCCTGGAAAGCCGCATCCTGTCGTGCTGACTGCTTTGTGGCCCACCAATGGTGCCCTTTCGCTACTCGTAACGAAGTATCAACACCACTCGGCAGATAGACTGTAGATCGAAAGTGATTTTCCTCGTTACTCTCCAATGAGAAAGAAGGAGAGTTTTGGCCTGGTGTGTCACTTCGCAAAGTTGTGCAGAAATGGTATATATGGGATATGGCATTCTCTGCTGTCAGCAGCGCCCTGAGAACAGAATTACCTTGTGTTAGCCATTGGGACAGAAATTATGACAGAGTAGACAAACCCTGTGTCCAGAGATAAATGGAGAACTATTTTTTCAGATTCTCCATCGTCTATCTCCACTATTTGAGGACGTCGATGATGGTCCAAACAAAGCTCCTGCATTCTCCTTTCAAGCACATTCCATTGACGTGATTGACGTGACACTAGGGATTCATGATTATCTTCTTCCATAATGACAAATTCAGAGATACCCTGTCGTGCTCGGCCCCGGCGTTGGATGTAGGATGTGATGTTTTCTGGAAGTTCGAATGAAATGACTAGATGACATGCTGGAATATCAATACCTTCTTCCAGCACATTGGTAGCGACAATCAAATTATTTGTGCCGCAGCGGAAGTCATTGACTACTGCCTCACTGTTCTTTGAGATCGAAGAGTTATGTGTCGCCCAGTGATCTGAGTGAGTAGAGCTGCTCACACAAGGCGCGCATCGAAACAGACCGTGGGTCAGTGGGTGCTCATTAAGCAACGCTGATAGAATGTAAGCGGTCGCTCGCTCTCGAACAAAAATAATCCCCGAGAGGCTTGCACAGGCTTTTTCCTTCAGAAAAAACAATAGTCGCTCAACTTTATTGGACATGTTACCGGGCGCTTGCATACTGACGCTAGTATCGTCAGAGATATTTCTCAGCAAAGATATCAAGCTTGAATATCTGTGGCTAAGCCACCAAACCGAGGAGGGGCTCTTCGGCCCAGCAATTCGCCCGGAAATATAATGCCAAATTCTAGTGAGAAAGTAACTAGAAGCCCAATTGCCCAATTGATACCAAATCATACAGGCTTTTGTATGGAGGCTGGAAACCTCGTCCGGGATGGTATGGCCCTCGGTTTTGCTGTCTTCACGCAGTTCCATCACAATCTCTTCTAATCTTTGTAAATAGAAAGGTAAGTCTGCTGCACCGTTGTAGTCTCGAGAATAGACAATCCTGATTAGATTCTGGTCAGAAACATGCTCCGCTAACTCCTGGCGCTGGACCAGGGGTGCGCGACAAGTTGCATCCAAATTCTTTTCAAGTTCCCTTTGAACCTCATTAGTATGATTTATATTTAACTATTATCAAATCTTTTTTTTTTTTCATTCGCTCACCGGGCTTTCTTTGGATCAACGGAAGCTGTCAAGCCAAGAATGCTTGGAACAGCTGCATTGCTGTTCTCGGTTTTAACTCTGTGATAAAAATCACGCATGATACGGTTTCCTGGATGTGATTTCACGCAATGATGAGCTACGCTAGCGTCAGTTTTATTAGATATCAAAATAAGTACTTTTGATTTCTCACCCTCATCAAAGACCAGCAAAGCCAAGTCTTGTAATTTAACAAAGCCGTGCGTGAGCGCATCGGCGAGGACAGCATGAGTAGCAAATACTACCTTCAATCCCCGAAGAGCGGCATCCCAAATCTCTTGACTGCTCCAACATTCCACTCCATCGTCCCCTGTTAGCATTCTCATGCTGACTGCGGGCATGTGACGCGAAATGTATGTCAATTGTTGAATACATAATACCTTTGTTGGAACCAAAAACCAGACCATCTGAAGACGTGTTTAATAGCAGTCGTACTTGGGCCTCGAAGCATTAGCTTACCTGGTTATCTTGGCAGCGCTCCAGTTCTGCCATAATCCTCATGCTAGCTCTAAGAATCGTTATTATCTTTGATATTGCTTGGTGGGATGTCAATTAATCCATACATGTAGGTCTTTCCACTTCCAGTGGGCATCTAAATTAGAAACATTAATGTAGGGGTCAATAAATATCTCAGAATTTAAAATGCAAGACTCACCACGGCGACAATATTTTCTTCCATGCTCATCTCAAACATTTCGAGTTGATAGCTACGTGGCTGGAGATTATCCATGTTTGGGACAGTGTCAGTAAGTCTGTTTGTTTTGACAACGGCGAGCTGATGTTTCAATTGCTAGGAATTACCCCCCTGCCGACCCCCTCCTTTTAACCTTGACATATGCCTGAAACGTGGTTATCTTCTATAGCCTGATTTTCATGGGATGTGTGTACTGATGCATATGACATGTCGAATATGCATTTAAATTCCTAGAGCTCCTCATCCGAACACCAATCAGGCTATGCGACGTGGTGCGCACTTGTATAAACGATAAATGCTCGCTGTCCAGATGCACGGTCGCCTTCACAGACCACATCTTTCATCGACAGCGTGGGAATTTGAATATAAATAATTTATCCACTCTTGTCGAAAGCACCATGAAATGTGTTAGGTTATCATCATAATCATCATCATTACCATCAACAACAACACTATCTTCTCCATTGTCATCATCTTATTCTTCACTTATTAAGCATGGGCGAAGCATCCAGGGATTTCATCCGAAGGCTAGTCGGATGTCAAGAGTTATCGGAATCGGAAATCCATATTGCTCTTACCGCAGCCGGAGTAGATGAACTAGTGCCAGACGGAAACAGAAAACTATCTCAGTTGGGCCTGGGAGCCACTGGATTCCTACTTGATTTCAGCTGCGCTTTGATGGCGTTATCTCGAGGTAAAGATTGCCCAATCCACTACGTGCCCTACTATATTAACAACCTCGAGATTTTACGTCGAAGCTCAAGTTCCGAGTCAACGGCATTCAACACCGCGCAGATATAGCCAAACGTACTGGCATTGACCAGCACTTAAGGTTTGATTCTCGGCCCGGTGGACGCTCATCAGGTGTTCTTGCTCTGGCGACAAGTGCCATTATTGGAGCTATATACCTGAAAACAAAAAGTTTTGAGTCAGTGGCCAGGGCTCTGTATGCTCTCGGGTGAGTTCATTCTGACAAAATCAAAATATATGGAGAATGAATTTCTAATAATAAGTAGCGTCCTTGATGAGAATCTCGACAAGCTCAACTTGATGGAAATATTCAAGGACGAGCAAGGCGATCTGCTGCCTATGACTTCCTTGATTGAAAGTGAGCCTCCCCAGACTAGCGAAATCTGTTTTGGGAGTCAAGATGTTACCCCCCTTCCAGAGTTTGTAACCCCCCCAGACTTAGGGGGCGTATCAAACTTTGAAAGCTTTTACAATGAAAGCGGGGAGCTTGAGCAGTCTTTTCAAAACGGAGTTTCCATCACCGACCTACATTCGCAGTCTCCGTCAACTGGGGAGTCAAATCTGGCGGTAGAGGGGAGGCAGATGCTTGACGTTGATAGCCGGGTTCATCCAGAAATGCATGTGGGAAATTTCCATGATATTGGAATATTGCCCCGACCAGCAGAACAGCATGCCATCCCTACCGAATTCAATGTCGCTCTCATGGTCTGTGAAGAGTTGTGCCAACCACATGGCTCCCCAGGCCAGTTTGCGAATCAGAAGTCCTCAAGTCAGCATTCTCCAGGGAAGCGAAAAAATACTAGCACTATGGAATTACAAAAGAGAAAATACAAGTGTGTTGACAGCGAATTCAGATCATCACTGTGTCGAGAAACTGCAATGAGTCTCACTCTGGGGTTGCTAAGCCCGAAAGAAACTTATTTCAGGCCTGATATTGAGAACAAGTTGCTAAATCTAGATTCAAACTTGTTTTCTAGGTTGTGTATGTTTTTAATTGAGGTGGGCAGCTCTCAATCACTTATTGCTCTTCGAGCGGCCCTTAGATATACAAGAGAGATGGGGGACCAACTACAGAGCGTCCAAAGCCGAAGATGGGTATCGCGTGATCTCACCAACAAAGAACGATTCAAAGTCATCGGTGAAATTGAGGAGAACACAGCTTTTCTTCAAATATTGCGATATAACCACATCTTACATTTTTATCGACACAGCACCGGGCCTGTTGAGCGTACCTCGGATTTCGCTATAATGGCAGCGCCACACAATAACCTTACCGGCCAGCCGAGAACAAGAGGCAATCCAAGGAACATTGAAGTGGCTACAGCAGTCGACAAAACTATGAGGGATATTTTCCCCGACCTGGAGCGCAGCTCAGATATTTACAGAAGGAAGCGTCGAGCTGTTTTGGATTGTCGCAAATTCGGACAACGTCTACACATTTTAGCTGAATGCTTCGGGCATGCTGTTTTGGGCCTAATTCATTTTGATCGGTCTGGTGAAGTGGCCAGCTCCATGATTAGCGAGAAAATGTGAGTCAATCTCACCGATGAGAACTGTGGCATAATACAAACTGATTATCCAGGTATTATTGCTCCGGCGGATGAGGCGTTTGGAAATTTCGTGAAGATCCTCGAGGACTCGCAGGGAGATCCTCTTCGGATGATGAGCACGGCAGCGAAGCCAGCCTTTGAGCATATCCTTTACGAAGATATGAGGCAGCAGAATCTCTTTGCATTGGAACGGCAGATACCCGGGGATATTCTTAAGTTGCCAAAAGGCTCCCAGGAGCTCCGAAATCTCTTGCAATAGCCAACAATCCTGTTTAGCTATAGTAGCTATGCCATTCTGGGGTCGTAATACCTAACTGCGAAATCACAAATAGTTACGTTCAGGATCTAAAGATAAAGTCGATCTTTTCTACTTTGGGTGTACCGTAGCATGAGGCCAAACCTAGTTTCAGACTTGTTCATTTTCTGTCTAGGTGGCGTCTTCTTAACGCAAAAAAACATACAACAGTGAGGATTCGCTGGTGGTCACCCACCCAACTACTAACTCACCGGCGTGTGGCTTAAGTACGGCTGAGCGGACGGGAAGCCCTGTTTTCCACACCCTATGGTCGTATGTATTATGTTAGTTCTTATAGAAGATTATAGAGCACAAATGTTTTAGGATCAATTGATCAGAGATGAGAGCGTGCAATAAGTAGAGAGTGAAAACTAGTTTCAACTAAGTAGTTATACTAATTTCTAACTTTATAATAATACAACACCCTATAAAGATAAGATTATTTTTTTTTAACCCGGCACATGTTCCGAATTGGCCTTTTACAACAAGTAGATCATAATAACTCTTAGGATACACCTCAGAAAGGAAAGGCTTAAATATTAATAATAAATGCATAATTAGTTTCCGACCCGCCGGTATACCTTTGCATATGTACGTACCTGTAAAGTGAGAGTGGATCTAAATTACTGCCCGGCAATTATGAACCAGTGTCATACTTAGGTCGCCCGTACCCAACACCCGAATGGGGGGCTTGCTTGACAAGAACTGGGCAGAGGACCCTTGTTATGTGAGGGTCTATCGTTTTCAGACAAAAATGCAAGGACCGGCTACTACATCCGAATTCCATGCATTCTTTGGCGTTATTCACATCTCAAAATTGATTGTGTCACCTTCCTAAAACTAACTAGGGATCCAAAACCGGCGGTCCAGCATATTTATGCTTATAGAAGGCTGCGGTCTCTCATGTAACTCTTCTGCTGTACGTCTTTTTCAGATCGAAACTTAAAATGATTGAACTTAATCCCTAATCAGACCTAATCTACGACTAAACCTATCTTATCCTGTTCTTCTGCTTTCTTACTATTATTGGAACGTCTTTTCTACCGCCCACAACATGACTAAGTACAAAGAACCTATCAGTCTAAGGGTAGCTCTGATCTCCGAGCAGCGGTCAAACTATCTTGAGCGCGGGTACTCCCAGGAGGAATGCGCAGCACTAACGCACGACGGAGAAATCCAGGCGGTCTTATCAACTCTCGAGAAGCTGGGCCATCACACCACCCTAGTTCTAGGCGTCGAGTCCCTGGTCCAGCAGCTGGCGATCGGGAAGCATAAGGACTGGGACCTGGTTTTCAATATGGCGCAGGGCTTCTACGGACCCGCGAGAGAATCTCACACCCCTGCACTCTTAGAGGCTTATCAGGTTCCCTACACCTTTTCGGATTGCGCTACGATGGTGTTGTGTCAGAACAAAGCAAACACAAAGGTAGACATAACTGGCTCTTTTTCTATTATGAGTTGGCTAACAATTTTTAGATCATCTTGTCCCATCATGGGATTCCTACTGCGCCCTTCCTGGTGATCCCGGCCAACGAACCGGCTAGCAGCGCGCCCAAGTTCACCATGTCCGGGCCCCAATATCCGTTTTTCGTGAAGCCAGTCACTGAAGGCTCATCCAAGGGCATCGACACGTTCAATAAAGTAAACGACTCGGCCGAGCTGACTTCCGCCGTGCAGGAGCTGAAATCGAAATTTCCAGGCCAGGATATCTTAGTGGAATCCTATCTACCTGGTCGTGAGCTCACCGTGGGCATTCTAGGAACGGGCGAGGATAGTCGCGTGATTGGCGTTCGAGAACTAATCTGGAAGAACCCGACTGACTCTACCAACGAAGTCGACGGCAATTCCCAGTTGGAATTTGCCAGCAGAGAGAGCAAATCTAGCACAGGCAACTTGCTCGTCTATCAGGATCACGATTTGACCCACCCACAAATCCAAGCAGCCTGTCAGGTTTCCCTGGATGCGTGGAAGCTCCTTGGCTGTCGGGATGCTGGCCGTATCGACCTTCGGTTTGACTCAAACGAGCCGGACGCCGTTCCAAATATTATGGAGGTGAGTATGATGATGCCCTCCTTTTTGTTCTTGTTGTAGAGATTTACTCATATCTTAATTGCGCAGGTGAACCCAATCTCCGGCCTACTTCCGGTCCATTCTCCGTTGCCAGGCAGTGCGGAGAGCAATGGGACCTCATATGCGGAGCTATTGGAAGCCATTATTGAAAGTGCCCTCCGACGATGCCCTCCCGCGACTCTTGTCAATGGTAGCTCATAGGTTATGTTTTGTGCTTTGTTTCAAAGGCTGCTCTACCTCAAGCAGAGATCAGGTGATTGTCCTAGGCTAGCAGAGGTCGAAATGACGTCTCCTTCTAAATAATATTGCTCAGGTGACTATCTTGTGATGCTTAATCGGCTTATGTGTTGGAAAAAACACAGCGTATCCTACCACTATACCATAACAAAAGCCAAGGTTCTTTGTTTAGGGCCTAGAGGAGTACCAAAGTTGACATTATATAATGATCTGAGAGCGGGTCAGAGTGTTAGGCAGCTTGCTCAATTTTACCCTGTGATCAAAAAGCGGCAAGAGGTGAACACTAAAACGGAAGGGAAAAGGTCTCGAGTGTCAGACATTATCCGGTACATATAAAATGCGAATTCTGAGAAATGTTAAGCCTGCGTTATCCTGTATTCCAGGGGGTAGCATAGAAGATGTGAAACGCTCTGCTTGAAAACATTAACTTCCAAGTCATATATATATATATACCGGTTTTGAAAATTTAGATTTGAAGACTTCTATCTAAAATTTCTTTTTGTACATCCGAAGATTGAATATCGTTAAATTAAAGCCTTTTGATCTTCGAAACTTGCTGCCGGTGAGAGTATATAGTAGTATATAGAGGTTTCATAGGAGTAGAATGTCTAGTAGTATTAGGCTTGAAAGTTTCCGAGCTTGAGAAATAAAGTAGCTGAGGCATGTTAGGAATCTACGCTAGGCTATGTCTTCTTGGTTCTCCGTGGTAAATAGTGGTAGTGAAATTATATATATATTTCGTATGGAGTAATGTAGCTTCAAAACCGGCTGCTATACAAGGTTGTCTACAAAAGAGACCGTTTCTCCCTAAGCCAAAATTGGAATTGATATTGAGAATGTATGAAAAATTTGTCCTGGATCTATGGCTCTTCCTGAACGAACGCCAGTCGTACTTGCTGCTTTGAATGTTTCGGTTAAGGGTTTAATCCATCACTTAAACGAGCTAGCCTCACGATACAAAAGCCCATAGGAATTAACATCTCCCTTTGAACCACCCCATTGCTCTAGGTCAACTGTCACCCGATCAACCTCTTTAAATCCATGCTTGAGATATAACCCCAATCCTTCTGGAGATGCCTCAGTGTAAGCAGGTAAACCAAGTGTATCCGCTTCATAAACACCAAATTCCACCAGCAGACCCCCAAGCCCCTGGCGCTGATAATTCGGAAGAACATATAATTCTTTCAGTTCTACCAGGTTCAAGTCATTAATCGTGATGCTCGCGTAAATTCAGTGGCCACAATGAGCAACTTACGGAAAAGGTCCTTCTCCCCAAGCAGCTCTGCTCGCTTCAGGTAACGTACTCCTCCCGTAGCATCCATCAGCGCACCATTCATGGTCGGCGGGCGATATCGGTTGCTATAACCCTCTGCCCATTGTGCTGCTGTCTTGCCCTTAGAATGAGCCCAGCATGCAAATGCCACCGGCTTGTTGGTGGCTTCTTCCGTTATCAGCAGGTATATGTTTTTAGGATCTCCAAGCATCGGGATCATGCGGCGGATTTCGTCATCTTGTCCATCTGATGCTCTCTTTGGGCCCTCAACCTTGGGCTGAAGGTGAGCTGGCCAGAGTAAGGCTCCAATTGAGCTATTATTCTTCTTATTGCTGTCATTCTGCGCGGCCATTTCAATGTCCCAGATAGTGCGAGCTCCTTCCTCAGTGGCAGGAACCCGGGTTACTTGAAAGCCAGGCTTTTCTGGTAGCACCATGGTGTTAAAAGCTAAAGGTTTTCATAAGATTATGAGATATGGGGAGAGGCAATGGCCGATTTGTTGATCATGGTGCGAGGGCGTAAGATAATAGAGTAAGAAATGAGTGGTAGGTACGCCACGTTACCTCCCGCGACAATTCCAAATAAAGCCACAGCTGCTGTAGTCAAATACTAGGCAACCAGATAAGAAACAGGAGCAGGACTTGATACGGGCTTTCGAAAACGTCGAGGACAGGCATTAAACGTGGTCTGCATACGAGTGGTCGGACTCCGGATAGCTCCCCGATGTTGATGTTACATGTGTTTATCTTTACCTGGCGGCTAATCACCGAGGCGGAAAACAAAGATAGAAAGAGGGGTAAGTTATTGGTGATAGCAGGAGAGGCACTGGATCATTGTACATCATAGATTGATATTCGGAGTCTAAAGAACTTCCGAGGGGTCAAAGTGTAATTAAAAGTGGCCCTGGTATATTATTATGGTCAGCTCTAAAGCTTGTATCCCCCACTGCAAATGGAAAATACAAAAGGACCCTATGTACTAAAAATGGATAAAAGTGCTTCTACCATTTCCATAGGTATCCACTTAATGCGTGATGGACGACTCACGAAAGCTTTCATACATAGCTTAGAAGTTGAAAAAATAAAGTATAGGATCGGCAGCACAGATTACTTGGGGAGACCAGAATACAGTATCAATCCTTCATCACATGGACATCTAGATTTTCCATTTTCTATCAATTTACCCTCACTGCTGATGTTTGTCGGCCGCTATCCATTAGCTTCCTAGTCATAACGGTCGTACTTGACTTTGCTGCTGTCGCGCGCATCGACATCGTGGACCTCGTATCGGTCGTACTTGATTTTGCTGCTGTCGCGCGCCTCGACATCGTGGACCTCGTATCGGTCGTACTTGATTTTGCTGCTGTCGCGTGCATCGACATCGTGGACCTCGTATCGGTCATACTTGATTTTGCTGCTGTCGCGTGCATCGACAGCACGGGCGTCATATCGATCGTACTTGATTTTGCTGCTGTCTCGGGCCCTGATGTAAATTAGAGATCTGTATCTTACTACTCTGCTTCTCATATTTCTTTTAAAAGAAAAAAGTGTCATAAATTGCTTACACGAGTCCAAGCACGGTGTTGGAAGCAAGCCCCAGGAGGATAACAGAAAACTTCGAGAAGTGCATGGCAGCGAGATCGATATGTTGATCTGGACTATGCAATATCCAGAACAGTAGGCTTGGGTTCTTGAGAAACCTTATACTAGGTATGAGGATTGTGTCTGGTATTTAATAAGTAGCTTGTTGGACGGGTTAACTGGAAGACGGAGAAGAGGAGTACCTACCGATGAGGCACCATTTTCCTTTTCTGTCAGCACGCCCGTATCTCTTATATTACAGCGCAGGACCCACCTCAGCACATCATCACAGTGCAGAATTAGCTCAATGAACTTGGTCTAATTGTCACTTTGTCTGGATTTGGAGTGCAATTGCCCTTATAGTATTAGTGGTTTTGTTAGAGACGTAACATGTTAAAGTAGGAGTTGAAGAATAATCCAAGAATCCCATCTGTATGTTTGTATATGTTTCCGCTATCGAGGAAGGCAAAGGATCGCCTAAGTCAGAGCACTCGAGTGAGAGTGCCCATCTGTCGGCAATATACTTGAAAGCTATGGTGGAGGCATATTGAGGGTATACTGTATGAGTACTCCGTAGTCACATTCAATTTCCTCCGTAAGAAGATCCCATAATCTGTTTTGCAGTGGATCATCTAGAGCATACTTCTCTCAACTAGGCTCTAAATCCGCTCAATTTGCATATACCGATGTAACATAATGCAGAGGCGGTGGTCACTCCCAAGAAAGGTCAAATGCCCGACAGCTCACGTAGCAAATCATGGATTTCTTTCTATTATAGATTGGATGGAATGAGTCTTTGAGGGGATGTAACATTGCGATATGACATGTGAAAACTTGGTTTAGAACTGGCCATCAATTATCCAGAAGAATTCTCTCAATCGCTTTTTCATTTTTATCCCAACACTCACTTCCATTGTCACTTGAAACCCCCATGTCTCTACCGAACACAACCATGAAAGAATCCTATACTCCCCTACGGGCTGGATCCGATGAATACGAAGGTACACCCGAAAACCTAGCTTTTCTACCAGAATCACGGCAATCGTTGAAGCCAGTTTGGAAGAAATCAGGAACTCTTCTCCTCATTGCCGGTAACCTTCTTCTCTTTGTGGTCTCTCTTGGTTTTATGGCAGTTTCCTTAGCGAAGGGGTGCTCGGAGCAATATTGTGCGGCACTTACCTCGAGCTATTGTAAGATTTTGGGTAGTCTTTGTTGAAGAGAACATTTTACTAAAAGATCCCTTCAAACACAGCACCCCTCCTAGAATCTACGGCAGGCGTCATTGAATATGAAACTGTGATGTTTCATGGAGCGCTGGAGTATGAGAATGTGTATAAAGGCAGTCCGAATAAGGTCATACGAACAGTCTGAACCTATCGTATTCCACAAACCTTGTCAACTGATATTGCTTAAACTAGGCCTTGGACGACGCATGGTCTTATATCAAGCACAGTAAGTTGGAGTCGAATTCTTCGTTTCCGTCAAGCAGCAACTAAAATCTCTCTAGTGGGTTCAACTCAAGTTGATGCTGAAGTCCTTCCACGAATCAACAAGTCTGATATTGCCGTCAAGTTTCCAGCCGAATATGGAGGGAAATATATGAGTGGAATTGAAGTGTTCCATCAGCTACATTGCCTGGTAAGCTGTCGCCGCTCGAAAGTTCTCGGATATCCAGGAGCAACGCTAACGAGAATCAGGACCTTGTGAGGAAGTACACCTACAGAGAATATTATGATCTGTCGGAGAATAGACCAGAGGAATTCACGGACTCAGAACCAACACTCAGGAAACATGTTGATCACTGCATTGACATGCTCCGCCAATATCTCATGTGTGCTGGTGATGTGGGAATCGTTACCATGAACTGGGTAGAGAAGTTTGGAATCTACCCTGACTTTAGTACCCAGCATAAATGTCGCAAGTTTGACAAAATAGTGGAGTGGGCAGACGAACACGCTGCCCCGTCTCTACCATACAACGGGGGGGGATCCGACCTCGAGTGCTGATTCGGTTTTTTTGCCAACACCACCTCCTTAATTGTTTAGAGCTTGTTATATCAATTTGTTTGCGACTGAGACGATGTCACAATTACTGTGAAAACCAAAGTCTGAAACTTGCATCTCCGACAAAGTGAGGTTAGACATTTGTACATACATGAGTTGACCCAAAAACGCCTGGCTAAGCCATTTCTGCTTTATATCTCCAATTTACATGACACAGACAAAAGGGGTTTCAAACATCCTCTTACATATACCATGGAAGAAAAGCCCTGCTCATTTGTTCACGGGAATTCATATGGCATCAAACCCAAAATGATCTCAGCGTCATGTAGTATCTGCATGCTATAGATTGCCGGGGGAAACGGCCACCACCGTTGACTTAGTAAAAGAGGAAGAGACGAAAATTTCAAAGAAAAACAAAAACATACAACAGTGAGGATTCGCTGGTGGTCACCCACCCAACTACTAACTCACCGGCGTGTGGCTTAAGTACGGCTGAGCGGACGGGAAGCCCTGTTTTCCACACCCTATGGTCGTATGTGTTATTTTATGTGTAGAAGAGAGTCATATAGGTTTTTTTGGCTAGGGGTGACAATCCTTGGGGGTAGTACGACCGATGCACTGACCCTCCGCGCCTGGGGTCCGCTAAGAGATAGTAAACGTAGGGAGAACGTAGGTTGAATAGTTAAATAGCAGCTTTTGATCTAAAACAATTAATTGCTTGGCAGCTGCATACAGCCATCCTAGCTACACTAACTCTGTGAAACCCTTTGATAAACTTAGCGCGAGCTATCCCGAAACACTGACTAGCATAGCTTAACCTAGTAGTTAGATGGGTAACCGCTAGCAAGCCCCTACTGTTGTATGTTATTTTTGGTGTTACTGCTGCCTGTTCTTCTGCTTTTTTTTTTTTTCTTGTTGTGCATGAATACAACACTGTATTTGCAGCTATGCGGGCTGATAAACTATATCTTGTAGATAAACCCTTGGAGTAAATTAGCATGGCAGTTCCATGGTTCTAAGGTTCCAAGGTTGCTGGAGAGGCTTACATAACCTAGAGCTGACCCCGGGCCCCCGGGGCCATTTTGCCGCCATTTCCCATCTGTGTCTGTATTTCCCAATGTGCATGTATCAGCCCCCCCCCCCCATGTGATTTGGCGCTAATCATCTCAGCCCCCCCTCAGCCCCCCGCAATGTCTTGATCCTTCATGTCTCAAGTCCCCCATGGACCCGATATCTGTGGTCGGGTTTGCTTCGGCAATTGTTCAAATTCTAGGCGCACTTACTTCAACTATTCACGGCCTCTATGAACTACATGGGAAATTCAGCGATGCCGACTTTACAATCCACTCGCTTATTCAGGAGCTGAGCTGTATCCAGACAGCACTCACGAGTCTAAAGGAATGGCATCGGTTCAGTTCTTCGGATGTAATGGTATCGGAGGAATTCAATGAACAGCTCGTTACAGCCATGGGTGGCTGTCGAATCATCATGGAGGTTCTCTCTGAGGATGTGATGAATTTGGTTCAGGGCAGTCGCAATGATGGCATAGTTGGATTTAGATTGCGCATTAGAGTCATTTGGAAAGAAGATATTATGAAAGGACACCAGGAGAAACTACATGCGCAAGTGATGGCATTGCAGCTATTACTCCAAGTCTGTCAGTGGTGAGAATATCCCCTCATGCCTGGAAACCACACAGGAACTTATAAGCCTTCAAGTCATACATCACAAGAACAGGTCCGCTTGTTGAGACAGGCAACGACTCGTCGCATCATGCGCAGGGTTCGCGACGACACCGAAACACTAGTATCCGCACGGAGTCAGGCTACATCTAGCACGGCAAGCATCTCGCAGAACAGCAGTTTCACAGCCACTGACCGAGTTTTTGATTTCAACGATGCTTTCACAGATTTGCCGGTATATCGCAGTTCACCCCAACAACTCGTACCATCGATCAGGACCTCTATTAGCCAGACCGACAGCAATAGTGGCCGAAGTGCATTCACAGATGAAGGTTATGCAGACACACCTACGCGTAATAGCAGCATTACAAGGCCATCGGTTGATGCTACTCCACCCCGCCAACATCATCTTCTCTTGCCCACTAGTCCATCGGCGCCAGTACATCCAGTTCACAAGAGGGCAACATCCTACCAAGATGCACCGCGTCCAAACTTGCAACATATTTCCCGGAGCAAGTCAGATACTAAGACATCGAAGACACCTGAGAGATCTGCCTCTAATCTGGAAAGGATATCTTCTCTACTTCGCTTGAATACCTCTAGTCGTCTAAATCTTGCCTCTTTGTCCTCCAAGGGCTCACCGAAAGTAGGCAATGGCACAGCTTTCACAAGAGTAAAGCCTAAACGAGAGCAAAATCCCCATATCAGCATTAATCTGACCGGCGCGGATGCTGTGTCTATTCCACAGATTGTGAAGGCCGCCCAGGCCGGTTCCCAAAGTGAGGTGGCACGGCTCATCGAATATGGCATTAACATTGAAGAGCGACATAAAGCATCAGGTCGAAATGCATTGCTTGTTGCTGCGCACTGCGGAAAAGATGACGTTGTTGAGCTTTTGCTTCGACATCATGCTCGACTAGATGTGACCGATGGGTCTGGCTGGACCGCACTTCATCTTGCAGCTTCGCGTGGTCATTGCGGTGTAATAAGCTTACTCATGGAGGAGAGCAACATTGCCGAAGTTCCAAACTATCAAGGCCGTACAGCACTGCGAATTGCCGTTGACCGAAGTCAGCACGAAGCCCTGAAAATGCTGCTTATGCATAATGCCAAGGTCAACACTCGTGCTGAGAATCAAATGACAACTTTGCACGCTGCAGCAAAGCAGGGCGATGCTGAAATTGTGTACATGCTTGTGTCAAATGGCGCTGATATCGAGGCCAAGGACGCTACCATGATGTCGGCATTGCACTATGCATGCGAAGCAGGCCATGTCGAAACCATTGCAGTGCTTCTGGCCCACAAAGCTAATATAGAAGCTGCCGGTCGTGATCGCAAGACACCATTGATATGTGCTGCCGAAGCGGGCCGGTCACAGGCCGTCGAATTCCTATTGAAATCTAAACCAAAGGCTTCGTCAAGTGGTACGGACGACACCGGGATGACTGCCTTGCATTGGGCTGCGTACAATGGCCACGAAGAGACAGTTGAAATTCTTAGTCAGAAGAAAGGATCTCTGGCCAAGGTTAATGCAATGGGACGAACAGCTTTGCACTTATCCGTTATCCGGACCCAGTTTGCTGTCGTCGAGCCATTACTACGCAAGGGTGCCGACCTCAACAGCCAATGCGCAACAGGTCTTACTCCGCTTCATTATGCCTGTATGGCGGACAGCATCGAGATAGCGACGCTGTTACTCTTAGAAGGCGCTGACATTGAAGCGCCGGAATATCAACACCAACAAAGACCTTTGCATATCGCAGCCGCGCGAAGTTCAATACACCTTCTGGATCTTCTTTGTGACAAAGGAGCTTCTTTAGACGCTCGGGACAGCGTCGGAGACCGGCCTCTAGGCGTAGCATGTCGCTGTGGACATGTGGCTGCAGTACAAAAGCTGTTGGATCGAGGGTCTCCTCTCTACCAGAAGCACCAAGCTACGTCACGCAATGACTCTCCTTTATGCTTGGCTGCTATGACAGGCCACCTACCCGTGGTCTCGCTGCTGCTAGAGCGTGGAGCATCGGCATCCAAAAAGGACGAGGGCGGCTGGCAGCCTTTCCGCTATGCGGCATATCATGGCCATCTGGATGTTCTTCGGGCGCTCTTGGCTCGCACTAGGATACCCGATATGGATGTCCCAGATATCATTCGCATGCCTGAGACAATTGGGTTCTCGCCAGATGCCATTATCTCTGAGGACTGCAAGGCTCGGGTGGGAGAACTTCTCAACCAGGCTTTGGCGGACTCTGGTTTGATGCCTCCAAGTCACACCCCAAGTATGCCCCAGAATGTTAATCAGGGGAATTATCCAGCTCAGTATTCACTGCCCCCCAATTCACGAGACCGCGAAAGCTTTTTGCCTCAGGAGCTACCTGCAACTCTAGAGCATGGCCTGCCTAGCAGTCGTTCAACAACTCCTGAGCATGGTTACCGGGCTGAACCTCCACAGTCCATCGACCCCTTGTCGCATATTCGTATGCGACCCGGTGAGCAAATTTCACCGCTGGCAAACGCGCAAATTGCTTCCGTTCGCGATGGCTCTCGTGGGGTATCCCCTATACGTCAACCCGAACAGGGTCCTACTAGGAGGATTCTTAGTCGGCCTCCAGCCAGAGCAGAATCACCGATGTCGGCCACCTTCATTCCTCGACCAATCTCTGTCTTTTCCTCTCAAATCCCCCAGAGATCTTCGGGGATATCGTCTCGCGCCCCGAGGGCTGGAGGCTCTGCCACTGAAAACACGCCAGTACAGTCACATAATCATAGTCAAGAGAATAGCATTCCTAGGACAATTCTTCCTCGGCGTGAAAGAGACATTCCGACTCCGAAGCCCGAAGGGCCATCTGAGCGTACTCAAGATACCGTTGGTGATCCTTCAGACTCAGATTCAGACTCGATATCTTCAGTATACACGGCACCTGAAGGGGATATGGACGCCGGTGCTATCTCGAGGATGAATGATCGAAGCGGGCCATATGAAATGACTGCATAAATACCATCATAGAAATTCCAGATGGTGTAAACTCTTGAAAGTGTTGAAAACCCAAAATAGGATTTGCAACTGTGCCTTAGAGAAACGTAGCGCTACTGCTACATGTTTCTGGTATATTGTTTCAGATTGTATCACGAGTGGCTAAACCGGAGGCCTCGACTCAAGGTCAAATTAAATATGCCTACTAAGTGAGTACTTGCTTGGTCCTAACAAGTTGTCACTCCGTTCTCACCTCCTCTCACCTATATATACCACTCACTCACCCACACCTAAAGTAAAAACAAAAACATACAACAGTGAGGATTCGCTGGTGGTCACCCACCCAACTA